TTTTACTTTGTCCTAACAATATACTTCAATATGACCATATTTTGGACAAAAAATGACATTGTATAAATCTATAAATTGATTTCTAATTTTGTTGATTTCTTGTATACCATTTCTTTGTTGCCTATAATGTGATCTACCATGATCTCTTCTTTGACTTTTAATTTGATAGTGTCTTCTACTATGGTTACATTGATTGTATGTGACTTCATTATTTTCCTCCTTTGAAATTTCAACTTTAGCTTGAAATGTTTGTTCAATTGATTCTATTATTGGTCTATTTATTCATTCTTCATGTGCTAATGGTACTTCAATTAATTCATTTTGCATATAAACAAATAAATTCTTAGATTATTTGATGACAACTACATTATGATCAAATTTAGAAGACAAATTTATTTTTAAAAAATGTAATTCTTATTTATGAAATATCTTCTCCAAATATTTTCATTTAACTTATAATAATAGATATTCTAGTAAAGAAATCATACATTGATTCATCATATTTCATGAAAATATTTTTAAATTCTCTATGATTTGAAGTTCCACATTTATAACTCTACTGTCTCCATGGAATTCATCTTTTAAGATTTTCTTTACTTCAAAAGAACTTGTGGCATTAATAATACGTGGAAAGATTACTTCTGAAATAGATTGATGTAAAACTAATAATGAATTAATATTATTTTTGAAAATCTTTATTTTCTTATTTAAAATTTTTACTTTCTTATTATCATTCTCAATCAACTCTCATAAATCTTGTAAAATGAAAACTATCTTTATTTTAATGCTCTAAAAATTATACTTCTCTCTATTGAAAATTGGGACAACATGTTATGAGAGGTTGAGGAGGTTATCATTTGTCATTCTCAAGGTCAATGGTAATAAATCTTTATAAAAACTTTGATTTGAAACTTTAGACTTCTTGCTACAGTAAGAAATCTTCAAAAATCTTAAGAAAAGCTTCACCAACCTCAAAATTTAATCTACTTACATGTTGTTGCATTCTCTTTAGAAGATCAACACTCAATCAACAAACCTAGCTCTGATACCACTTGAAGAAAAATAAAGGGATAGAAACTTAGAGAGAATATGTTGCTTTTTATAAGAAATGGTTCGAAGGAGAAAGAAAGAAGAAAATGAATTTTGCAAACACTGAAACTGTAAAAAAGTACTAAATGTAGTAATTGATTTCATGAGGAGAGAGAGAGAGAGAGAGAGAGAGAGAGAGAGAGAGAGAGAGTATTTATAATACTTAAATACCTCATGTGGGCCAGCCTACTTTTGGCCCACTAAAAGACAAAAACCATTTAACAAGGACAAAATAATGTCCTCTTTTGTGCATTCAATACTAACATTGGGTAATAATGTGGTGATGGTCATCATGGAATCGAAGCACCCTTTCAGGCTCCATGGAATCCTGAACTTTATGATCTTTAATGAATCTTCCTCAATATTTTTTGGACCAAGCTCTTCACGCTACATGACTCTACTCTTTGGCCCATGAGCTTATACCACCCACAAATTGACAGATAGTTGGGAGAAGTAAACTAGGGTCCTGAGACTATTATTGTTGTTTTGCAAGAGATTGTCCCAAACAATGGAGCAACTACCTCACCTAGGTTGAATATTTATTCAACATCAATTTCAACATCTTATCAACACTACACCTTTTGAGGTAGTGTATGGAAGAGATCCCTTGACTCTTCACCACTATATATCTAGTTTCTCTAAAGTGGACACACTGAACCAAATGTTCTAAGAGTGGGATCAAGCTCTCGTCCAACTAAAACTTCACTTGGAATGAGCTAAAGCTTACATGAAGAGACAATCAAATCGTCAAGGTCAAAATGTCGAGTTCTAAGTTGGTGATTGAGTATTTATCTAACTCAAACCTCATGAAAGTATTTCATGACTTATCAACTATGAGAAATTGTCCCCTATGTTTTATGGGTCATTAGGAGTTTAGGAGTAGATTGACGTAATAACATATCAACTGGAGCTGTCCATCACAACTTGAGTTCACTTAGTCTTCCATGTGTATCAATTAAAGTGAGCAGTCAACAATTTAGAGCTTGACATGACTTAATCATTGTGTAGTAAATCACATAAAATTTAAAATTTATAAAACTAGAAAATATCAATATTTAGACATTTAGAAGTATTTTTGAACAAATATATCAATTATAATTTAATAAAATTTTTAAAAATAATATAAAATTTCCAGGTCGATCATATGGATGTAATATAATATCAAGTAATTTTTTAAAATTTTTCTCAAAGAATATAATTTTTATAAATTTTATATTATAAAATAGAATAAAACATATTTAAAATGTAAAAAGGAAAATAAGAGTGTGGATGTCAGGATGATGTCAACACCTGACAAATGTAAATTGTACATAAATAGAATTTCATCCAGTGATTATTATGTAACTGATTACAAATGATTTAATTGATCAAATTAAGATCTATAAAAGCTAAAAAAATCTTAATTGAATGAAGAATAGTGTGGTCTATTTAAATCAGATAAATTATCACTAAATGAAGTAAAAATTAAGTTGAAAGTAAGAAAATAGACTTCCGACATCGCAGTAGTAATGCGTCGACAATATATTAAAATTCTAAGCATTCGAAAGGATTGTCATGTAATGTCTACATCCTCAAAAGTTCTCCTTGGATAAAGACAATATGGACAATCTCTAGATCTTCTTACGAAGTCTAGATATCAATGAAATGAGTTATTGAATCGTCTCTGGTGACTGTCACCCGACGGATATGAGTTGGATGAAAGTGATGCATGTCAAGGAGCTTTATCCTCAGGTCTATACAACAAAAGGAGGCTCTTCATCACACCTAGTATGTTCTCAAGAGGTGGTAAATTATATCCCAATGGTCATCTTCTTCCTGACGACGGTTTGTTCATCGATCAATTGAAGATCTTTTACTCAATGGATTCACTATACTTTTATCGTGAATCGTTCAGCAATTTTAGTAACAATACTCTACAAATCGTGTTGATAAAATTTTTGTCAATGATCTAATAATTTTGGTAACTTAATCTTTTACCAATAATTTACAAGAAAGTTATGATTTAATCAAATAAAAATTTATATTTTGACTCTAGTAGGATTTGAACTCACGTTGGTCATATATCTATATGAGAGAAATTAAAATAAATACTCAAATGCTCTTATAAAGTGACATCATTATGATATATTATTATAATTAAGGAATATTTTAGGTATTAAAATAAACAAAACTATTTCAGGGAAAGTGTGACGTGGGTTGAGTCACACATCAGTTGTACACCAAAGTTTTAGATGAATATATAATAATATCATATCTAGAAGCAATGAGTACTTTTCTCACATATACGACCACTCCTTGCCCCATAGTCGATTGGCCACTAATAACGTGGAAGGAGAGTAACACACATATACCCTCATCGATCTATAGCCGCTCAAGCCTCTACTTGCACCTCCCCTTCATTGTGCTTCCGACTCATTTAGGGGTTCATCTTTTTTTCTATATTTTAATATTTATTTATTTTTTTATTTATCTCAAAAATAGGACTATAAAAATTATATAAAATCACATAATTAGTTAAAAATTCATATTAATCAATTAAAAACTATTTTTCATAATTTAACATAGATATAAGTCTCTTTGTCATGAGTTAATATTAAGATTATATTATTTATTAATTATTAACTCATAATAATGAAGACTTATCAGAGCCCAATAAGTTACTCTATGTAGAAGACGATCTCAATCTTGCAAGAGTTTGAAGTCCTTATTCACTAGTAGGAAATTTACTCCTCACTGACGACATGAAGGAGTCTGCTCACTTGATCTTTTAGAAATACCTTGACTTCCACCTTCAAGATAAGGTGAGTCATATGAGGGGGGTTTTTGTTGAAGTCTTAGCCTCAACTAAGCACCCATGTGGGTTAAGATTGCAGATCCACCATGGGCAACAGCAGGTAGACCACTCACTACAAAGAGTGGTCAATTGTTAGGATCCCCCAACCAATCAATAGGGCTGGTTGGGCTGTTACATGACCAAGGAGGTGATGGCCAGCAGAGCAGCTAAGGGCGAACTAGCGGTTCCCGATTATATGAAGGAAGGTTTGAGTCGACGAAGGGGCATTGAAGATTACATAGAGGAAGCTGACCCACAAAGAACTGCCATCTCGAAGAGGCGACCCCTGTAAGAGCTGTTGTGAGTGCCTTTTGTCCTCCTTACCCCCCTCCTATCTTATCTTCCCTTATTTCCTTCAGTTTCCTTAAACTCTTCGGAGGTCACGAAACTGTTGCTGTAATCGGTGACTTCTCTGAGTCAAAGACAATAGAAATACTCTGTTCTTTCTACATCTCGCGGCTCTCTCTCCAAATCCAGTCCACCCAAAATTGGGCACCCATCATATACACGAGCTCTAAATGAGCTCATTCCATGTGTTTCAATCTGAATGGGTTGCGGGGATTATAAGGTTCATTATTCCAGAAAGTCACACGCCTAAATCCCTTGAATCCTAACTTCTACATTTGACCATAGCGGATGCCTTATTATTTTCCTTGAGATCAAATGTAAAACTATAAATTACATGTGTTCATTACACCTAACGAATCATATCAGTTTATAGATCATGCATCTAAATTTTTCACGAGGTCAGGTCTCATATGTTGGTTGAGATTAAGATTTTTCTTGGTATATTCCGAAAATAATTCCCCATTTTAAGCGACCCATCTGATCTTTTATCGAAAACAACGCTCTTAAATAGGAGATTGTATTCTCTCTCCATTTGCAACTGATACATCCATACACTGGGAAAGCGGCTGCAGTCCCACTGAATTGATTCGGTGGTGGGGGATAACGCTGGGTGTGTGTGTGGTAGGGGGGGGGGGGGTTGGGGCGGGGTCACAACAACAGAATGACGACTCGGAAGGAAGGCGGTAGGAGTTGGCCAAGGGTACACAAGCAACTGGGGGATTAAAGCTTCTCAACTGTAGAAGGCACCGGTCTTCATGGCGTCCGCGTTGGCGTCCCCGAGAGCCGCCTCGCTGAGGTACTTGTCGGCCAGCTGCACCCTCTTAACGTTCTCCTGTTCCTTGACCAGCATGTATCCGTACTCCAGCAGCTTCTCCAGGGTCATCTTCGGCTGGTGGAACGTCGGCGGCCCTTCCCGCGAGTTCACGAGCCTCTTGCCGACGTTCTCAATGCCGATGTCCACGATCCAGTTTCTCACCTCGTCGTCGTAAACCCTCGCCCTCAGGGCGCCGAAGAAATCTTCAGGGGGAAGACGAAGGAGAAGGGTCAGCCGGCGGCCGAGGTCAGGCGACAGGACGAGGGCGAGAGGGCAGCATTCTCACCGATGGACTGGCCGGGGAAGGTGTCGACGAGCTTGATGATGTCCTCCCTGGGGACGTTGTCGGCTCTGAAGATGCCGGAGCAGACGCCGATCCGGTCATCCCTGGTGGGCGCCCAGTAGAACTTCTCCATGCGGCCGTCGCGGATGAGAGGAGCGTACAGGGTGGAGAAGTCGTTGCCGGTGACGATGATGGGCACGCGGGCGTTCTCCTGCTTGTTGTACATGCCGGGGAGCTGGACGTTGGTCGGGTTGTCGGCGATGTTCATTAGGGTGGCGTTCACCATCTGGTTGTTGACCGTGTATTGGGTGGTGCCGCCCATCCGCCCAGCGCCGGCGTCGAGGTCGTTGATGAAGAGCGCGCACATCTTCCCCTTCTTTATGATGTCGGCGGCCTCTCTGTACCTCTGCCTGATCAGCTTCGCCGGCTCTCCGGCGTTCCCGCTCTCCAGTTCTCCAGCGCTCATCATGATGGGGCTGCATTGCGGTCCAATTTCAGAGGGGAATCTCTCACCCGGAAAAAAACGCGGGTGCTGAAATCAGAGGGAGGTTCGACTCACTTAATGCCCAATTTGGCGAACACGAGTTCGCACTGGAAGGACTTCCCTTGACCCTTGCCTCCCCAGATACCCAGGATGAGGGGAACCTGTCAGATTGCCACCACGGACGGAGATTCGAGATCAGCACCCATCCCATTCCGGCCGTTATCCTCTCCACCGAACCAGTGGGGGCGAAAGAATCCTACCTTGATGCTCGGCAGGTTCAGGAAGTTCTTCGTGATGTGGACGGTAAGCTTGTCCATGAAAGCGGGCGCGATGTAGAAGCCGTCCATGGTGTTGTCAAGGTTCAGCCTGAAACACGAGGACGAAGGAAGAAGAAGATAGGCCCTTGGTCAGCATCAGGTTCTGATACAAGACTGACGTAGACAACACAATCGGGGAAGTCGTTGATGGAGCCCGTACGTGCGGAGGCCCTGGCTTATGTACTCGTAGGAGCTGAGGACGGCGTCGTGGGTGCCCTGGCCGGAGGGGGCCTGGAAGAGGGAGTCGACCAACCCCTTCCCCCTGGTGATATCCTGCTGGTCGTCCGACGTGTCGTAGTAGAGCCCGCCCCATCTGTCCCCAGAGGTTTGCTTGCTCTCGTCGAGGTCGGCTGCCATCACCCTGATGCTCCCCGTCGAGATCCTCTCATGGTTCCGGGGAGAGCTCCCTTTCTTCAGGCTAGCGCCGAAGAAGGCGGAGGCCGGCGTCGACGGTCCCGATCCAGAGCTGCGGAGGCTCGGCTGCACAGTCAAACAACCCACTTGATCCCTCCGCTTCGAGAGAATGAGAAATAAAACTGAGCAACAAGAAGCATTTGGAGGGACCTACCCTCACGGAGTTCACGGCTCCGACAGGAGACACGGCGGCGGCCATAGCGGCTTGGGAGCGAGCGTGGAGAGCGAAAGGTCTGTGGGGATCACAGAGGGCTTTCCGGCTCGTCAATGATGGCCACAGGGGGCGGGGGAAAGGTCAGGCGAATATATAGTCGCCTCCCCCGGAGCTTCTGAGGTGCTCGTTGTCTCAGTCGTCCTTGGTGGGGACGAGCATGGTGTAGCTCTAGTTGCAAGCGCCACCGCAGCCACACGACGCCGGTGGCGTCACCGCCTGCGTGGCGCAATCTCAGACGGTAGCTTCTGCTTAGGCCAGTCGAGTCCAGAGGTTAGTGAAGATGTGGTCTCAGGTGTGGGGGCCATGGCTCCCACCACTCAGAGGCCATTAGGAAGGTGAAGCGATCGGCCGGCCTCTCATCTCCACTAATTTTTCTGCTGGGCACCTAATTTTTTCCCCGTGATTGCAACCAGGTAAAATCTCAAAGCTCTCGCTCACATACACCACATTCACGTTATCAGAACTTTCCTGACACTAAGTTCCCACCGCCGAAAACTCAAAAGACGGCGGCACATCTTGAAAACATGGACTAAAAATGAAACTCGCCATCGACTAATTCATACTAATTTAGCATACACATGGGACAAAATTGTTTTTCAACGCTTATTCAAATGTCGATCGCTCCGGGAATTTTCCCCTTTCCTTTTCATAGTCTCTTTTGAAGGAAGGTCTTTGAATTCTAAACCAGGCCCATTTTTTTTCTAGGAATCGGCAACTATTTATTTCCTACGGTCCTCATAATTCATGTTAAATTTTAAAATACATCAACATAAACACATTTTTTTTCATGTTATGATCGTGTGCACAGTGTCAAAGAGCTGATGGAGGCTCGAGTTCAATTTCCGTGGAGGATCATTTGGGCAAAAAGCTGAGGAACTTGAATAAGGTCAGCTTTGTTATTTTCCCATTGAGAATGATAATCACACCTTTATAATGTAAGATGCGACTCTCATGGTCGCATTCTCTATGTATATCAAGATCTACCGGAAAAGAATCGAAAAATAATCTCAAATTTATTGAGAGAGAAACAATGGCGCTTGATGGCTTATGAACAACTTGAATTTTCAGTTGATATTGTACATTTTGTCATTTGTTTAACTTATGAGTTTTCAGTTGATCTTGTACTTTTGTCATTGTGGTAGGTTTTTCGACAACTAGTTCCCACGTTGTAGAAAATAAAATAATTCGGGCAATAAAATCATTATTGGTAAATAAATAAGTCAACTATTAATTTTTCAAAGCTCTTCAACAGGAAGGTGACAAATATCCATTTTAATATAGATACGTATTAGTTAAATACGCTTCGTGAATGCTGCGAAAGGCCTCCATTCATTCACTTGAACGTATACTCTTGGCCCAATGTCACTCCCTCCCTCTCTCTATCTCTCGCTCTCTCTCTGACTAACTATAGGCGTTTTGGTCTCAATCCAGACGAGAACTACGTATCGGCAAGACGAACTGTTGCTGGGCTCGAGTAGGACTCAGAACAAGAGGAGGATTCTCCATCTGAAAAGCCCATGTTGACCCACTAGAGTCGGCTCGTGTATCAAAGAGAGCCGAAAAATATGGGCCTGCATATTGCGTCAAATCGATGGAAGCAACCGAGCCATTCTTCCTCGATTGAAGAAGCTATCATCTTCATCGTCAGTCCTGATCTCTGGCGATCCTCCACTGCTTCACTAAGCCGTCTAGGCTCCCGCTGTACACCAGGTATGCCTGCTCGCTCTCCACCGCCATCGCCAACGCTTTCACCGTCCCATATGACTGCACAGAACGGCCACACAGACGTGAGTCGCCAGCCCGTCAGCCGACCTTCTCCAGACTCTCACGCTCGCGTCCTCCGACCCAGTCACGACCGTCCTGTCTGCGGCGGCCAGACAGAGGACGGCCTGGCTGTGACCTCTCAAATAGCCCAAGTACGCCATTTGGCCAGACGATTCCCCCTTCTTCCAGTAACTTAGAGAACCGTCGGAACAGCCCGCGTATAGCATGAAGAACTCCTCCACCCCGCCAGCTTCTCCAACGGCGACAAGGGACTTCACCGGGTCACCGTGCGTATCCATCTGAGACAAGAGATCGTGGGTGCATCTCTTGCCCGGACCTCTCCCCCACGTTTTCACTTTGCCGTCGTCGGAGTAGGTAAAGACCACGGTATCAGGAACGACGACGACCAGCCCATTCACGCTGCCGTCGTGAGCTTGCACCGTCTCGACGCACTGCATCTCTCCGATACTCCACACCTTGAAGGTGCTGTCAGAGGAAGCTGAGTAGAGGAGCTTCGCGGCCGGATCATACGCCAAGCTCGTGATGGTACCCCTGTGCCTGGGCCGGTAGTCGCCACCGCTGAGTGAATAGGAATGAGACTTCATGATCGTCTTCTTGGGCTGACTCCAGAAGACTTTGATGAAGCATTCCATGGCAGAAGGCAACGTTCCCTTCCTGAAATGGACAGGATTCGAGTTCCAAAGCCTAATCTTACAGTCGGCGTGTGCACTGAAGATAAATCCCTCCCCTGCAGAGACGAGAAGCGCATTTACATCGCCACTGCTCGACCTTAGCCGACTGATCTCGAAGAAACCAGGGTCTCTCCAGACGTGAATCGCCTTCGACTCAGTAGAAAGGATCCTCCCACTACGCTTGGTCACCGTCGCCACGCAGCGCTGGGGTGAGGCGACTTAGAGAGAACCCAAGGGCTGGAGACGATAGCGTTTGACGACGAAGAGAATGGAGACAGCGGAGGAGCACCAAATATGGCTGCGGCTTGAGACGAGGGGCAGAAGAGACAAGGCCGAGGCTCCTGCTCTTAGAAGGGATTACCTGTGGCTTCATGAATAGAAATTACAGATGTTCTCCCAGGCTGATCAGAGCTCATCCTGTCGGCGGCGGAGCACGAAGAACTCCAAATATTCTAGCGGAGGACGGCAAAAGGTACCACCATCGCTGGTTGATGAAGAAGCGAGGGCAGGCTTTGTAGGACCGGGAGATACTGCACATGGGTTCAGAACAGCGGGTCGAATTGCAGCTTGGCTTTGGTTGGAGGTAACCCGAGAAAGCAAGGGAAGTGACACGTGACCATCCCATGGATCGACTGCCATTTTTGGTCGATTGTTCCGGATCTTTCCTCCCTGTCAAATGGACGTTACTGTAAGTCGAACGTAAACGTCATTTCCGCGTTTGACCAACCGAGGGCCAAATGGAATCCGCTAATGTGTTTCCGAGGATCGTCACCCTCCGAGATACGCGGCAATGAGAAACAGCTGCTCTCTCATCACTCCCCTCCCATATATGTCCTCTTATTACTGCATCATCTCCGTATATGTCATTAATAACGTGAGGAATGGGCATGGAAGCTTCTGGGCAGCACCGTACTGCAGAAGCAACCTCGATCAGGCAACTTGAGATTCTAAGAACGGAACCCCACGGCTACGGCTGTTCCAGCCGTGGCACCAGAGAAGCCTCCGGTGGCGGGCTGCAGTCCGGCGCCGGACAGCCCCAGGGGCGGCACCGCCGCCGCCGCCGCCTCGATCGATTCGCAATGTGCCAATGCGTTTAGTCTAGCTGAAAACTTGTCTTCTCTGTTGCCAGCTTGAGGGGAGGGAAAAGGGTTGATGGGCAATCCTGGCTGTAGACGCCGCCGGGTAATAGACCGGCCGCGATAGGGAGCCAGCGAAGCGGCAAACTTGTCTTCGCTGGCCGCACCACACCCGGCGACTCTTTCCCTGAACGAAAACTTTCCATGGCCGCCAACGAGTTTAATATCTGAGCAGGAAGACCTACACGTTCGAAACAAGGTAGCCAGCGAAGCGGCAACCTTGTGTTCGGTGGTGATACCACCGCCGGCGACTCTTTCCCTAACCGGGGGCTTTCCATAGCCACCCGCAAGTCCTGAACACCTCATAACTTGTTTTGACCGTGGATGTCTTCCTGCTAACAAACTAAACTTGATGGAATCGATTTAATTGAAATATTTTTTAGCGAAGGTGGTGAAATATGATTTGTATGATACCACCATTTAATGTTAACGCGTATAACTTCTCTTTGCGAAAAAATTGGACTGATTCCGGAGAAGAATTCTCACCCGACTGATCCCCCTCGTTTCATCTAGTCTTCTTCCGCTCTCAATCTCTCTCTCCCTCCTCCTCCTCCCCCCTTCCTCCCACATTCTTTCTCCCCCCTGAGACTTTATAGAACGCTTCCGAATCCATGTAAATATTATTTACCTTCGAAATTTCCAAAAATATCCAAGAAATGTGTTAGGAGAAAGGGTGGAGCAGATTAGACTTGGTTAGCACTCGTGACAATTGTATGGAGAATTCGGATTTCCCCTAGATCTCTTGCAGTCGATGCCTAATTGAAATATTCCCAAACAATCACGATATTTAACACTGATTTGAGGGTGACAGCGTGATTAGTCATTCACAAGGTGGGATCAGTCCGTCAGATTTCCGTTTCATGATGAATTAAAGAATTTATAGCCTAGTAGGAAGATGTAGACAAACCAATTAGTGGCGTTAACAATGTATCAGTTATTCATAAACAGTAATTTTCTTAAAGAATGCTTATGGTGAATCTAAAGAACGACGAGCGCGCCAGCGGAGAACAATCTGAGCTCTCGCCGCAGTCCCGCCCTGCTCAACTGTACCGGCATACGTAGCTGAACGCCACAAGGAGCTCGACGATGGCCGTCTCCGCCTTCTCCCTGTCAGAGAAGATCAGAGTCTGCATCATTAAGACCTTCGGTTCTGAGTTTATCTGCCTCTTCTCGAGGCTCCTCTCTGACTGCCACCGCACCGTGTCTCGGGCGATGGGCGCCAGCCATGAGAGGATCCCGTCCACCGCCTCCCTCCACCCGCTGGCCAGGGCATCTGAGGGGCCGACCCCGTCGTCCAGCTTGCTGTGGCTCCGCAGCTTCGCCATTACGGCCCCGCGCATCCCCTTGGGGAGCTTCCGGTAGAGCTCATCCCGCGACACTTCCGCAACAAGCTCTGGCGACACGGCCAGCTTCTCGAGGAAGACGACGACCTCCGCGCACCGCAGCGCCATCCCGGTCGCCCCAAGCGTGTTCTCCGGTGGCTCGAGCGCCTCCTCCTTCCACGATCTGTCGACGCCCGCGTCCCTGTCGGTTGTCCGTAGGAGGGGGCCTGAGTTCCTCATTTGCAAGTTCTGCACGTAGGGTCTCTCGAGAGGCCCCGACGAATATATCCCTCCGGGGTGTTTGGAGTTGTTGGCCGGGTAGCAGAGGCGGCTTGGGTAATGAGCGAAGAACTTCACCCGCCCCTGGCGATCCAGGATGACGTGAGGAAGCTCCGGCACGAAGGGTCTATAAACTGAGCAGAGCCGCGCGAAGATTGAGACGACGGACCGGGCCATGAGTTCGGCCACCTTCTCGAAACTCCGGTTCCAGAGGGACTCCTCCCGGAGCTGGCGGACCTTATTTCTCATCTGGCTCAACCGCTTTCTGTAGGATTCAAAGGAGGATTCCGTCAAGTTCTTCGATTTCTCCAGCCGGCGCATCCCCCCCGTCTCCAGCTCCGCCAGGTCCTCCATGGCAGAGTAGAGTGTCGACGTCGCCGCCACGTACTTCTCCATCTTCTTCACCTTCTTGTCGACGTCCTTGAGATGGAATCCAAGGACCAGGTGGGACATATCCTCCGTCCCCGCCTTGAGATCGGCGTACACGAACTCAAATCCTCGCGGCCAGACGCGTCCGCACCGGCTCCCGAGACGAGCCACCGCCGCGGCGGCAACGTCGAGATCGTCGATCATCTCGGCGCAGGCGAGGCGGAGGAGGACTCCCTTGTCGGCTGAGTTGAGATAGGCGACGCCCTGGGAACACACAGTGCCGGAGATGAGGCGGTGGACCTCCGCTTCAGAAAGGGCGCGGTATAGGCCGATGAGCCGCGACATGGTGCGGACTGCCTCGAACGCCAGGATGCCCAAGTGGCGAGGGTCGCTCCCCTGGTTCCCCTGGTGGCGCTGGAAGAGTGGACCAAGCAGCTCCCCTGCCTGGAGGCCGAGGAGCCACGCCTTGGAGGCAGTCGGCGAGACGACCACCATTGGAGCCCGTCACCAGAGGCCGAAAGACGCTGGATTGACCAGCTTCCCTCCCTTCGTCTCCCCCTTACCCGCAACCACAGCGACAAAACAAGAGGGTTCTTCTTCCCAAGTCCTCTGGTGTAGGGGGCGGAGGGGGGTGGTTTCGCTGGCGGCTCCTACCTAAACAATTCCAAAGACGCGTTCGCCTTGCAATGAAGGAACGCGTAAACAAATCTTATCCTCCTCTTCTGCTCACATCGCCCGAGCCACAGCTTATTATAGACGCGTAGCCAAACATCATTCATTCCACACCTGCTGGGCTCCCACCGACTTCACTGCGCTCTCCGATCTCAACCACGTCACCGGACCCATCTAAACAAACGCATGGAAAGAGAACAAACTAGGCTGTATCCATGACCGGGTTTCGCATACGAGGGGCAGCCGACCTCGCATGCACAGTCACGTGGAACAGGCTCGATCGAAACCGCGTCGGTACAGTCCTCATCAGACTCAGCCTCTACGACCGGCGAGGACAATTGCCGCCGTCGACGCAACTTACCCCTCACTTTCGGATGCGACTCGGCGGTGGACTCGTTCAAGGACGAATACTCCGCCGATTTATCTGCAATGTCGACCCATCATGGAGTATTTGCGTAAAACTACAGAAAATCGCCGTGGCGGTCCACCTGGCGAGCCTCTCTGGTCCTTCTAGTAAGAAAGGGCGGGTGAGAGAGAGACAGGTTTGGATGACGGGTCAATACTAAGCGAGGGAAAATATTATCCTAAAATAAGACGTCGCTTCTCAGCCAGAATGGTCGACAATACTGCTCGTTTGAAGCGCAGAGGGGCATCTCCTGATGAGGAACGTTGACTTCTCTGTAGACTAGTTGTGATGATGAAACAATTAATAACCAATAGGGTGAGCTGGGTTCATCATCCACGACACGCATCTCGATATATTGACCAAAATTATAGATAGCTACGCACTTACTTCGACGGTCTCTCCTTCCCAAGGTTGAATGCAGGGATAACTATATATGCAAGGTCAAGGTCACGCACCTCTCTCTCTCTCTCTCTCCCTCCCTTCCTCTCCACACACACACACACACATTCATATAACTCTATATATATATATATATATATATATATATATATATATAGTCTCACATGTACGCGCCTCTGGGCACACCCGGAGGAGGTTGAATTGGTTGAGGCTCATGTTTCTCCATTTGAAGGAGGTTGAATTGGTTGCCACTGCTGAAACCTCTGACCAAGTTGACACCCACTAACATCAATCTTCTAGATATAACATGGACGGTACGAATTGTTATTGGAAGTGATGTCGATGGAAAATCATATCGTTTTATTTATTCCTAAGTTTTTATTTATTCAGTCTAGAACCATGTCCATAAAATGAATTAGGAAAAAATGTATGCATAACCTAGATTCATAACTAGGTTTAGCAAATGTTATGCCACGAAAAATAAACTTGTGTTTGTATCGTTGTCCGTATTATTGTTGAAAACTAAAATTTGGGTTCTTTGCATATCAACTTTGCTTGGCATGATTAGATCTGACTAGGTCTAATTAAGTGAGACAGTCTTCCCTGTGCCTCAACGTGAGTGCCTCATCCATAGCCCAGATCTTGCCCAAACCAGTCCTCCTAAGGGATTTCTAACAAGCACAGTCCAACGAGGTGCCCAACGTAAGGAATACCAACTATAGATACTCTTTAGTAGAGAAGCAGAGGTGTCATTTGGAAATTGCAACAACATTTTTGCTCATAGATTTGGTCCCAATAATAGATCTACCCCTCACTTTGCAGAGTTTCATCCATCATTTTCTGGAGCGACATATATATATATATATATATATATATATATATATATATATATACATATTTCAATCATTGAGATCCCGAATAAGCCTATTACATTTACAGCAATGGGGCTTAATAGTCCAAGAAAGTTCGATTTAGTCTTGGCCCATACATTCAAGAAGATGTAAGATATTAAGGCTACATTAATTTTGAATCACCGATCAAGAAAACTGACGCATGTCTCATTATGGGGTGAGTGATAGGATGTTTAGCATCTGATGGTAGTACAAATTTTCTTTTGATTTCATTCAATATTTCTACTGTCCTGAACCTGTGACGAAATTAACATTGGGGTTCATGAGGAACGATGTCTGAAGCATCTGTTGGAAGGATGTCATACGCCACCTGCTACTTACCACGCTGAGCCTAGGGCTTGTAAAAGGTAAATTGTAACACTTACTCTGATTGTATAATTGATGTACCACCTCAGTGTATGGTAGGTTTAGTGATACCAAGAATTAGTCTCATAAGAAAGGAGTAGGATGTATCAATTGGATTAAGGTATTGTGTTGAATGTAGTTAATCAGCACCCCTGACTTATCTAATTGTTCTCCATAGAAATTTAATTCAGTACCCATGACTTATCTACTTGGCCTTGAGGACCAAAAGGACTAAATAACTTATTTCTAAGTACATCAAAGAAACAGACGTTCTTCTCATGTAACGTGCTTTTAGGTGTTACAGCTAAAAAAATCAGATAATATTAATGAAACTAGCTAGTTACATATTTACCCTCTTGCTCTGTGCTCAGGCCAATCCTAAGATAAAAACTTTTACCTTATAAAGTTTTTGAGCTTCTAGATTGGGAGTGCTGAGTCTACTCAAGGGAAGAAGAAACAGGCGGGATTGTGGGAGGGAGACAGAGGGCAGCCAAGGAGATGGAATATGAAGGTCGCCTGGCGTTATGGAAGGGATGGGTGGGAAGAGTAACTAGGTTTTATGGGGCTCTTGGTCTCTAAGCTTTCGGTCAAGTGGCAAGTAGACTGACTACATGGTGTGTCAATTGATTCGGCCATTTGACCGACCAAACTTGGTCAAATCGGATGGCAATCAATTCCATTGAATCAAACCGACAATTATTCATTGAGCTCCAAAGTAGTTGATCTTATGTTCCAAGATGCCAAATAAAGCTCTAGCTTTAAGTAAATGGAATTATGGCATATGGAGAGCGTAAGTTACCATTTATTTCATATATTTTTGGCCTAGCTGATGTCGACCACGTTTCTGTACCTTATGGGCTTTGTGGACTTGGGCTTACCAATCTCCGGCTCATTTGTCTTTCAATTTGATCCAAGTAGGAAATGGTACTCATTTTTGTTAATTCATTGGGTGCGACCAACACATCTCAATCAATAACCCATTAAATCATGAGTAAATTCCTGATACGCTACTGGGCCAAAGATTCTCAGATTTGAGGGGGTGAGGAACTCATAATCAGAATAAGTATATAAGTATACAGATAAACATGATGTGGGAAGAATAGGAATCTAATTCGACAAAATAGTAAACGAAATTAGTATTTTTTCATAAAAATGTAGTTAATTAGCTATATTATCTCTTGTAGTGTGAATTTAACGGTTGGCTGGTTACAGTGATGATTTGAACCGGTTTCCGCTAAACCCGCAATAAACGTCAATAAACATGATTCCAGTTGTTAAGTCAATAAAAAAACTTTCGTCATAACATCTTAGAAGACGAATATTGCGAAGTATGAAGATGGAGTTTTTTTTATGTAAATGATTCAAATTTGATCGCGATTTTCTTCAACAGCCAGAAGAGATCGTACTAGATATTATATTTATGTAAACATCTTCTGAAAATTCGATTGTTGGCTGATTCCACAAGTGACGTATATTCGCGTGTAGTCCTACTGTTTATGAGAGTGAGAGAGAGAGAGAGAGAGAGAGGAAGAAGAAGAAAAACTAGTCCCGCAACCGGCGAGGTCAGAGACTTCCCTTGTCCGGAAGCGAGTCACCTACCGCTGAAAAAGTCTAAGGGTAAGTACCCATCTGAATTAAAAGTCGGACGCGCTGCTCCGACGACTTACCAGCAGTGAACAAAGGACCTTCACCGATTTTCAACCTACCCCCAGAACGGCGGCGCCGCCGCCGGAGGATTTTGACCTGAAAGGATAGGACAGGACAAGACAGACTGCCGCAAATCTCCCGAGAGCTCTCTTCAAGGTACCACAGAAGAGAACTGAATAATTTAACCAGCTGCCGATCGATCTTCCTAGAAAAAGATCTAAACTTCGATGAAAAACATTAAAGTATTTTTCCATCACTAAAATATTCTAAAGAATACAGCAAGGTGGGGAACAAGTGGAGTTGCAGGCGAAGGAGCAGACCGGCCGATCCCACAAGTGACGGAGAAACAAGAAAGCTGTTAATTATAAAGTTCTCGGTAGATTGAACAGTAGAAATTTTGGAGAGGATGACAGGGCGGAGGGACAAGTGTTCAGTAGGACGGCGAGGGGCGGTGCGGCGGCTGCTGCTGAGACCACGCTCCGAACAGGTCATGGTGAAGATGGCCATTGCTCATGGGGCTCGCCGTCAGACTGTAGAGAGGCATTCCCGCCGGGTCTCCCCCGAACCTTCTACCGACATCATGAGGGGAGAGGCCCCCGTCGGTGCCCCCGCTCACCCTCGCACCTCCCTGCGGCAGCTGGTCCTCAGAGGCACCGGTGCCAGCGGAGGCCGAGGTGGCATCTTCCTCGATGGGTAGCCGCTCGTAGGTGGCGTTTGTGAAGGTTGCGGTAATCACCAGCACGGGGCCGGAAGCGACGAGCGGCCCGACCACGCTGCCGCCGACGACCTGGCCTTGCCCCCCGGCGAGGTAGACTGTGAGCCCGGTCGCGCCAGGCGGCGATGGCGGAGGGAGGAAGGAGCCCGAGAGGGACAGAATGTCAAACCGGCCATGTAGCGTGACGACCGCTCCGGGAGGGGCGGCGAGCTGGCGCAAGCTGACGTTGACGACGACGCCGCTCGCGCTGAGGACGCAGACGCCCCGCTGCCTGAGACGGGCGAAGTTGGAGATGGCCTCAACGATGTCGGTCCCGCTGCTGATCTCTAGAACATGAGAGCGGAGCGCGCTGGGGCTCTCGCGGGTGACGATGACCGGTGGCTTCGGCTTGTTCTTGGAGCCAGGTGGGCGCCCTCGAGGCCGCCTCCCGGAGCTGCCCGCGCTCGCACCGCCTTCCCCCTTTTCGCGGCTTGCCCCGCAGCCGTCGCCGCCGGTGGCTTGATCCTCGACATCGCCGCGGCTCTCGTCGTCGTCGTGGTGGTTGTGGTTGCTGCCGCTGCTGTTGGTGGTTATCGTGGTGGTGTCCATGTCCCGGTGGTCATCGCCGAGGCGGCGAAGGTGGTGGAACTCATCGTCTTTGGGGTTACGCAGGTGTAGCGCCGGCGGGGTGGGAGGGGAAGGGGAGACGGGATCGATGCCCCCTCCGCTGAGGGACACCTTGCCGGCCCACCACCGGTTCGCCAGGTCTCCTCGCTCTACAGTTGCCCGGCGGAAGTTGGACGAGCGATGTCGATGCTCCTACAGCGGGGGAAGGAAGCGCGAGCAAATGAAATGACCGTCAAGCTCCTGCTTTTTATCACTAGGCCTGTGAATGCGATAGGGATCACCCACTTGCACCACCACGCCGCTGCTTCTGACTTTTACTGAGATTTTCCTTCCCCCTCCCTCTCTCCACTTTGTGATTGCCGGAGAGATTAACGGTTAAACCGGTTGCTAATTCACGAATGAAACGTAGATCCCCGAACAAGAGATCCGAGCTCCGCTCTCAGAAGCACCTCCAAGACTACGATTTACCAGGGATGGGGAACCAGTTGTGGAGACGGCGACTCGTGAGGAAGGATAAAGCCTCCACGAAACACACTAGCATTCCGCGGAAACGTGAATACGCCACAGCGACATTAAAAGGAGGAAGGGAGAGGAGTAAACACGTGCTGTCAGTTTCTGGGTGGTTCCGGGGAATGGGTCTCTACCGAGAGACGACGCCCGGGTTGAAAGCCCCACCCATCGCAAGTTTCGGCTTCTCCACTCCTCTCTCGTGAGAGTTTTCCTTATTCGTCATTTTCCTCCGATAAACCCTCCTCCCCTCTTTTCCTTAGGACCTCCCACTCTGGTTCATCTCCGCAGACTACCAGTTCTCCAGGCTCGAGAGATTTTATTCTCTCTCTCTCTCTCTCTCGCTCTCTCTCTATAGATGTATATATATATCTATATATCTATCTATCTCTAGCTTTCCCTCTCTTCGTATCTCCCTCTCTCTCTCTCTCTCTCTCTCTCTCTCTCTCCTACCCATTCTATCTCCATCTCGCTCTCCACCTCATCATCGACGGCCGGCGACGCAACCCACGTTGACTTCCAGAGGCAAAATCTAACACGTAGTAGAGATGGCGACTCCTCTGTGGGCCCCGTCTTGACAATCAACTTCCATGTATCTATTTATATTTTTTATTCCTCTCTCTTCCTCTCTCTCTCTCTCTCTCTCTCTCTCTCTGTGCTCCCGCCTCTCTCTCTCCCTCCGATGTTTTATGAATACAGATTGGTACTTGTACAGGTTCGGCCCAAGGTGAGTGCCCCCCCTTGACTCGGTCAGCTCTCCCCACATGCCCAGCCGGGTCCCACGCTGACCCCTCCCCCCGGGATATCAAACCGTCGCTGAACGCGCGTTATCTCCTTGTTGACCAACGCATCTTACTATCAGTAATAGTCACAACTTAATACCATTAATGGATCGTATCCGAACCGTTATGGTCCTCCCCCGGCTCGCGATTCCCGGTGAGGGCAGAGACAGCTGATAAGGCGCCCATCAATTTCGGGACCATCTGATCGATGGGACCCATATGATGAAGATAGCTCGGATGCCCAGCCGGCTCGGTGGGACCCCTTCAATCCCAGCCCTACGATTGACATGCAGCAGCTGATAGTGGACCCCATCCCATCGTGGACTAGCCGCTCGCCTCACGTGGCAGGCCCCTCCCCAAAATGACGGTCCAACAAGCGTTGGGATTGCAAGGGGGTCGGTGGCGCCGCCGCTCCTCGGGGAGAGGCGGCGCCGGCGAATAGGGGCCTCCGTGGTGAGCTTATCCGCCCCTCATCACCGGGTTCAATTTCAACGCGGCATTAACTCGGGATGGCCCACACGTAAGCCCTCCTCTCTGGACCGCTTGACTCCCTGCGCTCCGACGTTAAATGCAGACGGAAAAGGGACGGGCTGGGTCGGACCGAGTTGAGCGGGCCGAGTTATCCTGGCCCACGAGGGCCCGAAAAACCCACATACAAGGCCCAGCTGTGAATATGGGGCCCCATTTTTACGCCACAGGTGGCCCGAAGACCAGAAGTGGCAGGCCCATCACCTATCGCCATTGGTTAACGCTGGCGAGAAGATGATTCCCGGAATGGAGCCACTACCTGAGAGACGAAGAAGAAGGGTGTGGAATCTGTTTTTTCACGGCAGAGCCGAAGGAGGGTGAAGCCGCTGGGTGATCCTCCCCAATTCAAGGGCCATTTCTTGGAGGACGACGGGCTTTGCTATGGCTCCTTGCACGCCGGTGGCCATCCACCACTCCGGGGGATCGTTCTCGCCCTTGGGCACGAGGGCGATGGCGATGAGCCTGCCCTCGGAGCAGAGCTGGCCCAGCTGGGCGGACATGTCGGACCCCTCCTTGCTGAGAACGGCAGCGTCGATGAGCAGCAGATGAAACCTGCTCCCCCGCAGGTACAGGAGCTCGGAGCACTCGAACCAGGAGGAGGCCGTCGTCAGGCGGCAGCCGAGCCGCTCAAAGACCCGCCGCGAGGCGGACCGATTCACGGTGTCGCCGTCCACCAGGAGGATGCTCATCCCTTCGAGCATGGCGCGGGTGCTCTCGCTGAGCTCGCCGCCGGGAGGAGCCTTTGGCCGGAGCTTCCCCTCCTGGGATCGCTTCCTCTGCAACTTCACCACCAAGGCCATCTCCTTCCCCAGGCTCTGGGACGCTGCTCCGACAGACAGGTTCCCGTTCATGAGCTGCACGCAGAGGTGAAGATGACCGGGCGAATCAAATACGCAAATACTTTCGGAGCGGAAAACTTTATTTTTTCTAGGATCGGGAACTCACCCGCGCGAGCTGCTCGCAGACTGTCATGCCGTGTGTGTGGCTGCTGTGTTCGCCATAGCCAGGAGACTCGGAAGTCGCAGGATCCTCTCTTCCGAGGACAAGGGCTTTCCTGGCCTCAAATCCAAGCTTCACGAGGTCATCGTAGCGGCCCTGCTTCCACGCCCCCTGCGAGCCCTCTTCCACGTATATACGAAGAGTTACAGGCCCCTGGTCGCCGGAGCCAAGCAGGTGGGCGACCATGAACAGAACCGCCTCGAGGATGTGCCTCTCGTCTCCCACCACGCCGACGGGTATCTTCCCGGATACGGTGCAGTGGAATGGGACACCTCGGCAGCAGCAAAGAAGCTTTGCCATCATCACCGCCTCTTCCAGAGCCGGCCGCAGAGCGAAAGGCCTCAGACTGACCTCCAGCTTGTTCTCCTCGAATGCAGAGACATCGGCGGTGTCCTGGATGAGGGAGGACAGAACAAGCCCCCCTTTCACCATGGCCAGCTGCTCTGGTTTCAGTTTCTCCAGCTGTAAAGAGGAGAGGACGGCGGCCACAGCTCGAACAGGCCCCATCATCTCCCCGGTCATCACACTGCGGAAGAGCATCCGAGCGTCGTTGGCCTTGATGGCTTCCTGCTGGGCACGCTTGAGCATCGTATTCCTCTCCTGCAGCTTCTCCCTCATCGTCAGCGTCTCCTCGAACGCGGCACAGTGAGAGAGGGCCACAGAGACCTGATCAGCAACCACCTCGATGATCTCGAGCTCTTGTGCCATCCACGCCCTCTCTTCGTTGGCAGGGAGCGCCAAGACGAGGATTGCATAATCGGGCTCCTCTTCCTTGTGCTCCGACGAGTTCCCTCTTCGATCTCTGCGCGAATTCGACGCCCTCCGGGTGGCTATCCGGATGGCCACCGCAGGCCCAAAGGGTCCATCCTCCTTGCAGAGAAGCTTGGAGGAGGGCCCGAGGAAGACGATCCCACTCTCGTCGACTATCTCCGCGACTTCCCGGTCATCCACTGGAACTGAAGCGGCAGCGGCCCCCGCCACCGCCGCCGCCATGAGTACGGGGCGGCCACGGCGGTGGGGCTTCATCCCGTGCCTCAGGATCATCTTCCTGGGGTTGGAGGGACCCGCTGGCATCCAGACGGCACAGCTTTGCAGGAGGAGGACCTTGGCGAGTTCGACCATGGTGGTGTCGATGATGGTGCGGCGATCGAGGGAGCGGCGAATTTCTCGGACGATCTCGTGGGCGTGCCAGCTCGCCTCCTCCTGGCGCTTCATGAGCCCTACCTCTCGATCCATGTCGCGGGTTTTCTTGCGGAGGAGGCCCTCCCGGACGAGGACTCGGAGGATCTGGGGGATGAGGGGGAGGAGTGTGATGGCAGTGGCGACGGAGACGAGGGCGGTGAGGAACTTGAGGACGGTGAGGACGAGCATGAGGAGGAAGGAGTGGGGAGCGTAGGTGAAGACGGTGGCCAAGTGGGTGAGGCCGCACAGGACGATGAAGGCGCCGAACTGGACGAAGATCCATCGGAAGGGGAAGATGGCGGCGCAGGTGACGAAGTAGAAGAGCTCGAGCGGGATAGAGAAGTAGGCCAGGGAGATCAGAAAATCGCTCACCTTCTGGCAGTGCAGCACGTTCTCGACGCTGAACAAGGTCAGCGGATCCCCGTCGCAGCCCCCGTAGCGCGCGAATGCGTAGCCGGCGGACGCCCCGACCACCACCGCCCCCAGTGGCAACATGGCCTTCGACGAAAAGCCCGATCCGCCGCCCGCCGACTCTGCCCCCTCATACTTTGGGGACGATAGACCTCGCCTTGGGGGGCCGAAGGGCGGTGGGGAGATAACCAAACAGAAAAAGATTGGAGAGAGAGACGATGACGAGGCCGAGGAAGACGACTGGTTCTCGGGGCTGTTCACTGAATCGGCCTAGGATCGACCTAGGAAGGACGGCTCCAGCGAGAGAGAGAGAGAGAAGGTTGTAAAAGTCCTTCGGCCCAAAAACTCATGACAGGCCTCCGCCACCGCCGCCTCTCAACGGCACCGCCTCCGGACCATCACCGTCGCAACACACTTTCCGAGGTGCCGCAACAGAAAATAATACTTTATTGAGGGCAATAATTTCTTAAATTATCCTTACTATGCTTGAATTCACATTGAATCGGAAATAGACCAAAAAATCATACAATTCAACAACTAAACATTTATAAATTTATTTATTTATTTGAGGGAACTCAGGCTGTCAAGCACCTACGCTAAAGCACGGCCTCCACCTCAGGTCAAAGATGGTTCAAACATAGGTCAACGATGCCAATTAGCAAGGAATAAAATGTAAAACATGCTTTTAAAAGTACAAATTAATTTAATTTAAAGTATTTTTCCATAGCTGGTCTTTGTTGGCAACCCATTTAGTATTCGTTGCTACATTAGACCGGGCTGTCGATATTACGAAATTATTTTTTTATAGAATAAAATAAATTAATCTACTTGTCCACATGACAAAATTCATTGCCCTCGAAAACATCCTGGAAATAATATTATATTAAAGAATTCTGAAAAAATATTATATTGATTTAAACTTGGTTTCCGCACTACTCCTCATCGATCATTTTGATGCTATTATTGTTCAGAGATACTTATTTTTAATGGGAGATATTTGGTACTCATGGGTTCGGATAGCTTTTGAAAAAAATATATTTTTATTGGTGGAATTTAGGTGATTAAGAAATCAAAATTCAATGAACTTAAATCGAAATAATTTTTTTGGGTTGTCAAATTTATTTCGAGCTATTCCCACGACCATCCAAGGTCAAACTAGCACCAACATTTCCGGTATTAAATTCAGGGAGACGTCATAACTAGTTTTAAAATAATATCAATACGATTAAAAAAATGGAATTTATTTTCCCCTTATTAAATTAGAGAAACCATCAGAAAGAATTTTAAAATAAGATTTTCTATGAACTGGATTCTTATTAAGAAATAGCCTAATCACGGTCCCTCCGGTGGAATCATGCGGGATCATGGGGGCAATTTGACTCGCCCGCCGACGAATGACGTACTGCCCTCGGGCTGGCAACCGCGGAGACAGGTGTTCTCTTCGGATGAGGGCCGCCCTTTTCATTACACGTGGCTGCCTTTTGCCATCCCAAGTGGCGCTATCCTCGCGGCTACCATACTAATTAATATTCATTATTCAGTGGTCCGTTAATCTAAATCGTTGGGACCAAAAAAAACAATATAGATGATCAGATCTCAGGGACTTGAGCGCGTTCTTGTCCGTATTCCTTTTCGCGGGCCCCACTATTTTTTGTCAGCTTGTGGACTGTACAGGGCCGCCGCGCTAGGGAGGCGATTTCGTTATCGTCTCCCCCGGTCTGCAGGGGCTGATGCGGACCTCCATGGTAGAGGAGCGTCCCCACCACGGTCGCCGCCGAGTTTCCGTCTCGCAGCAATGCCTCCGGGGAGCCTGCGCCGGCGCAGCCAGTCAGATAGATGATGTCGTCGTCAGCTTCAAACATCTCGGACCAAAGCATGCCGGAGATCGGAGGAGACGGCGGCGGCGGCGCCCACTTACCTTCTTCCAGTCGTTGGGGTCCATTATGGGGGCGTAGACCTCGATGAGCTTGACCTTGGACGCGGCGGCGAACTCCGGGTGCTCGCAGGCGACGCTCCAGTTCCCCGGCAAGTGCACCGAGTACTCCGACACGGTTCCGCCTCTGTCGATCTTCTGCTTCGTGATCCGGTCGAAGAAGAACAAGATGGGGCGGTCGCAGGGTTCGCTGGGAACGGGGCGGGTGTTGAAGGTGAAAGGCCCCTTCTGGGAGCTCCGCCAAGTCTGGAAGGTCCCCAGCGGCTTCTCCAGCTCACCGGCGGCGAGCACCTTGGGGTACAGCTGCACGGTGTAGCCCCAGGCGACGGAGACGGACCACCCGCGGGTGGGCTCGTAGCAGATGCTCTGCATGAGGGTGCGAGCCGGATCGAGCCGGGAGGCCCGGACCAGCGAGCCGAGGGCCTCCAGCCGGTCGCGGCCCCGCGGGGATATGGGTTTCACGTAGTCAAGATGGTGGAGCGAGACCAGCGGCGCCGTCGGGTGTGCAGCCAGCATCCCGTAGGGGTCCCCCCGGAGGTCCACCTGCAAGAGAAGAGAAGAGAGGAGGAGAGAAGAGAAAAGCGTCGCCGGTGAGATGAAGAAGGGGAACTGGAGAGCGCCGCCGACTCGCTAGAGAGGGGGAGGGACGGTGACCTGGTGGAAGCCGGGCTCGCGGGTGAGGGGGATGCCGAGCTCGCTCAGGCAGGCGTGGACCCGCTGGTCGCTGCCGTAGAAGTGGTTGTAGCGCTCCAGACAGCTGTCGAGGACGGGGGCCAGCTCCGCCGCCGCCGGAATGCTGACGGCGAAGCCGCCTCCGCCGAATGCCATCCCGTAGGAGTGGAGCACGTCCTGCTCCACGCTCTCCGACGAGCCCCCCACGTACCACATCTGCTCGTGGTCGTACTTCCCCAGCACCCCCGCCAGATTCTCCGGGAAGAAGACGGTGTCGTCGTCCCCCATCACCAACCACCGCACCCCGCGCTGCTCCCCAGAGGCCACCACCTTGAGGTAGGTCTCCGCCACGATGTTCGCGATCCGCGCCGCCGAGGCGCGCGCTCCGAACCGTGACGCGTCCGCCGAGACGCGGTACGGCGGGCAGGTCTCCGGCCACCCGGCGCCGCCGCTGGGGGGCTCCTCGTCCAGCCACACGTACCCGCGGGTCTCGCCGGGGCGCCACCAGAGCTCGCTGTAGCCGCGGCGGCTCTGCCAGGTCCTCGCGGAGCCCCCGATGCCGAAGAGAATGTGGGAGACGTCTGTGGGAACCGGCGGTGCGGAGGGCACGGCGGCGGCCTGCGGGGGTGAGGAGCGGAATGCCCTCCGCGCCTGGTCATTGTCGGCGCCGCAGCCGGGGCACCCACCGCCGTACTTCCAGGAGGAGACCGTCGAATAGCAGACGAAACCGGAGGAGATCAGGAGGACGACGCACAGAGAGGACCTAATCCAGAGCCACAGAGAATTACCCAACTTCTCCTTGAGGAAGAAGATCCGCGACCTCCACGCCCCCGTCATCTCCTCCCTCCCTTCACGGCCCTCTAATGGAGGGATAAGAATTCCGACGGAGTCAAACCCTAATGCCCAAAAGGAGGAGGAAGAAGAAGAAGAAGACGGCGGCGGCGATGGCCCTCTTCTTTCGGCCGGCCGTCTCCAGGAATCACCCAACCGGCGGTTCCCCGCGGCTCCGCCCTCCTCTCTCCCCCCGGATATGACTGCGCCGCCGAGAACGCCGCCGCAACCGCAGCGGCATCTTCCCTTTAAATCGGATGCCTTTTGGTGGTCGGATTCCGTGAAATACCCCTGAACATCTCAGCTCGCGTGGGGGCGACCAGTTCGTGGCCGTCGGATTGGTGACCCCTCGATCTACCTGATCCTTCTGGTCTCCGTGATCTCATGGGACAGCGATCAAAGGGTCAGGGGCTCGCTTCGATGATCGGGCCCACCGTGGCTCAGCCCACGTAAGGGAGCGCCTGTATCCACTTCCCCCTCCTAGTCCAGCAAAGTGCGGTTGAGGGTTCACGCGGGTTCGCCACGTGTTTATATAGTGAAGGCACGTGCGAACCGACGTACGTCCAGCAATCACACGCTCTTTCTGCCGCCTGGCGAGATCTCTCGAGGGCCCTCAGATCGACTGTATGATCGTGATGGACGACGACGGGACACTGGGGGCCCGTTCGCTGGCATACGAGAAAATTTGCGGCCCGAGTTAGAGGAAAATGGGTCGGTTAGGCCTATCTTAGAATTCGAATCTGTCGAGCACCTCATTTTAGTCGCAGACGTGGAAAACAGGCTGTAGACCAGACCCGGAGGGGAGAGAGAGAGAGAGAGAGAGAGAGAGAGAGAGAGAGAGAGAGAGTCTTCATGGTTGCATCCTCTAGCCTAATGTAACTCAAGAAATCTTTGTCAAACTCAATAGGTTTCAACCCATGTGCACTCATTTGGTCTTCTTGCATTAGTTCTAAAAATATAACCAGTCAAAACAAGACTCTTGACCTTTGACTTAGTTGGAATATAATCTCTCTTGACCAACTGCTACAAGACACAAAAAAAATAACTTTCCTTGAGGCCTTCATGCCTCTAATATAATAAACATAGTTAAGTCCATACAATGTTGTGACCTAGTTGTTGGTAAAGGTTTGTTCATCAGATCAATTATGTCATCTCGTGTATAAAATATCTTGAATTGACTGCAATTGTTCAAAAACAAACTTATAAATTTCTTGAATCAAACATTCACTTATATTAAAAAATGATAAATTGCATCATTTGCAATAAACAATCTAATGTTAGTGTCACAATGCATGTATACAACTTTTAATTAATCATAAGTTCTTTTACCGAGTAGTTGAAGCTGTAATATTTATTTGGCAGCCTCAACTATAGCAATGTACTAAACCTTTGTAGTTGACAATACAATAACATCATTTAATGTCATATTTCTTACAATATTATTTATTTACTAATGTCAATGTGACACATAATCTAAGTCATGATAGCTAATAATAATATCAGATGATTTTTTTGAAATAGAAATATGTCAATTTCTATTATTTTTACATTCACTTGGCTTATAAAATGTCAATGTATATATATTTTTAAAAATATTAGTTTATATTGTGAATATGGGAAATTTTAATATAATTTTCAACTTTATAGTTTCAATGTCAAATGGTCTTAATAACTTTGACTTGTGTTGTGAAAAGTAGACTCACAATTGCCTAAAAAATTCATTAATAAGACATGAGTAGAGATACATTCAAAATCTTTGAATCCGCATACTTAAGAGTATTCTTGTCTCTCTAACTAGAAGAATCAAATTTAACTCTACATTATTTGGGAAGACCACATGATTTATAAATCAAACTTGTAAGACTTTATGCTTATAAGTAATTAATAATTTTTTAATTCCAACATTCACTTCATGCTCATTATATAATATGCCACAAAAACGTATCGTCATCATCTTAAAAATATATATTTTTTCATTTTTATCTAAATTTATAACAATTGAAACAGTGTGTTACTTTAAAAATGTCATTAGTACTGGAACAAGAACAGTCATTTATATCAACTTTGCAAACATATAACATATTTTTCTTTCCACCTTTGTTTGTCTCATATCCTCTATCTTAAATTCAACTCTTTACCATCAAATTTTCAATACACGCAAAAGGATTGTGTTTACCTTGGTTGATAGTAAAGTAGATTGAACCTCATATGTTTTTGAAGTATCTTCGTCGTACAAGATGATGATCACCAATTAATGATGGGACTAATTAATGATGAAAATAATAAATTATATTAATATACTCCAAAATATTTATGTCATCACATTTACAAACTCTATAAATGTTTCTCCATATATGTGTGTTATTTTTTGAAATATATTTTGACATGTTAAGAGCTTCTAATTTTTTCTACATGCAATAGCAATATTTATCATGGCAATTTTACTTCTACATGTAAGGTAGGCATAACTTAATTGTAGTAATCACTTTTAAATATAATAAGTCACAATTGTCATCACTCAAAAAGAGTCTTGGAAAGCCAAAATTAAATGAAGATAGCCTTTATTCTCTTCTACCATAAATCAAAAACAATCTTTTTATTAAATTCTTCAACTTTGAATTTCATCATTAACATATTCGATACGATATGTTGTGGAGATGGGTATTAATACCTACTATAGAAGTCAAATCACCAAACATATTGCTAGTCAAGTATGTATTACCTAAAGTGTCACAGAAAAATATACAAATACAACAATGTATGATACAAATGAAAGAGTAGAGATGATGATGCACAATAATATACATGGTCAAAAATGATCCTCTTGGATCTACAAAGAAATATATATATATATATATATATATAGTAGTATAATAACAAATAGAAAGAGAACCTATAAGATAATTTGATTTCTCCCCTCAACACACTGTCAAACTCATCTCCTTCCTATACATAGTGCACTCCAAATAAAATTATAAAGTTCCAAATGAAATGCACCTAGCCTAAAAATAGAAATGTAAGTCGCAAACCCTTCTTAATAAGCATTATGAGTGAGAAGAAGAAGAAAAGGTCTTAATTCCCCATTTGTACGACACACCTTTCCTCACATCCCTCTTGAAATAGAAGAGTAGAGAGAAAAAGAAGAGAGAGAGGGAGAAACATATGAGAGATTGTTTGGGACTCATCCTCTCTTAATAGCTGTTTCTTTCAAAAAAAGGAAACATTTGATCGGTTTGACCAACAAAATAACATCAAGTACCCTTCTTAGTTGCAGTATCATTGGGTGGGTCAAGCTTGAACCTCCCTCAAGATTAGCTTAAGACTTGATGTGTTTTGCTAGGATGAAACTCTGTGCAATCTATAAAATGTTGGGAGAGAGAAAGAGAGGAAGGAAGAGCTTAGTATAGGTAAAAAGATTGGGGAAATCTTCTTGGTTGCATCCTCTTGTCCAATTTAACCAACAAAAATCTTTGTAAATATGTGATAAACCCAATCGGTCTCAACCTTTGTGTGCTCACATGGTCCTCATGCATGAGTCTAAAGAAGACATGAGTTATCTCTCTCAAGTCAAAAAGGGGATGTGGACATGTTGGGTGCATAACTACAACATATCATTCTGGATTTCTCCTATATGTAAGCCATCTTTGTGAGGGATAGGATTTTGGTTTCAGGTATTGGGTATCCTCATTTTACACTCAATAAGAGCTCAAAGAAGCAATAGAGATTTAGTTCTCAAGATATTCATAACTCTAATTGTGTCACTGTTGAAAATTTATGTAAGATTTCAAACTAGAGAGAGGCCTTTTGATGCAACATGAGAAAAGTGGAGAGAAATGACCATCTAGATATGTGGAAGTCTATATGATAAGAAGAAAAAGATATGATCAAAGGTTTGGAAGAATTGGAATTCAAGCTTGACATATGATGAACATGACTTAATGATCTCTCTCTCTCTCTCTCTCTCTCTCTCTCTCTCTCATTTACAATATCTTTCTAGAAAGAGTTAGCAAATATAAGTTTAAAATGATAGTTTATTATGTCTTTGGCTAAATCATTTATTCTAACTTAAATATTATACATTATTTCATTTTATATGTTTTTCATAGGCACTTCAACTTTTATGAAAAAAAGAAATTTGAAAAATATTATATCATCTAACCATAGACCATATGTGAAATTATTTGTAAGGAATAATGAGGTTTTGCACACAAAACATTAGCATTGAGAAGATGACGTGTGGATCATGTCACCATGTGGTTGCAAGAGAGCCCAAGTGTAGGTCATCTAAGTACATGAGGTGTGCACTAACATGGCACAACACACAAATTACACTTAAACACAAGGCACATGTGTAAGTGAGGTTTAGCAGAGGCACCAATGAACCTCTAGTTAAAGATGCATACATCACTAGAGGTGTGGCACTTGACTGTAATACTCATGTAGGCAAAGTAAGGTTTAATTAAAGCATCCCATAAACATCTGAAGTCATTGACACAAGACAACATGACATGGCAAGATGTAGGGCAATGCATTTACATAGTGCGGCATGAATGGCACATGCACATGGGCATGTGACATCAAGCAGTATGATGTGGCATGATGTGTAAAGAATGGTAACAGATAAGTAGAGGTGTGCGACATGGGTACACAATGAATGATGGTGGAAGAGCAATTAGGTTGATGAGACTAGTTCACCATCCTTGCAATTAGGTTCACATGGAGAGCAATGAGCTTCATTTGTGAGGCCTAACTTCAGAACTTAAGTCATGTAATTTTACTATCAAGAGAATGGTTGTTGAGCTGTGGTATCAAAGACATGGTTTCACAACCTATCGTCATAATCCATGCTATTAGGTTATCACATCAAATAATAGGGTGGGGTAATATGATGCATAATAGGAAGTATCCACAAGGACCCATATAGTTAAGAAGGGATTGTAGTCTTATAGAGCACGATAGAAGATTATTTAGTGTTGTAGAAGAGGACCAAAGGTTTCATGAGTGGAACTAACAAGTTAAATTAGGGTTTTTTAACCATCTTGTGACGCCATCACTTTGGTATATGAAAAAAGATGTAAAGATACAAATATATTTAATCAAAAACTAATAACTCAGGGTTTAAAATAATATTTAAATCTTAATTACTCTTTAATTATAATTTAACTTAATTTTACCATAGTAAAAGAGGAGATAAATTTAATAGTGGGTGTTAAATTTTGGGTGGAAAATCTGGCACTGCTCCGATCTCTTACCAGGTGAGGCCAAACCTTACCTACATTGAGCCAGACCGAAGAAAGAGTTCCAAAGCTTCGGAAATGTAGATCGGCCGACGGGGGGTGCCTAGCGAATCTTACACGTGGCCGATGCAATCTGGTCGGGCCCATTTATTGATCTGAAGTAGTCAAGCCAGGTGCGCGCCGTACGAAACCATTTTTCCTCTGGTTGGCCGAGCCCGGGGGGCCGCGTGTCAAAAAAAGATGGGGGAGATTCCCTCCCTTACGTGGCGAGAGATGAGAGTAGGCGGCAATCGGATCGGGCGACAGGCGGCCCCTACGGCCGCCGCAGACGCCGCCGATGAGGGACTCCCATCGATTGTAGAAAGGTAATATGTGTCTATATATATATTCCCCGGGGGAATTGAGAGAGATTACAGAGAGAGAAGGCGGAAGAGAGCCTTCAGTCGAGCGTGGATGTCGCCGTTGCCGAAGAGCGAGGCGAGGGGCTCCGGTGGCCTCCCGGTGTACGGCTTGGCGTCCTCATGCGGCCGGAGGAGGGACATGGAAGATGCGGTGTCCGTGCAGCCGGAGTTCCTCCGACAAGGCTGCGTGGGCGAAGCCGGTCTCCATTTCTTCGGGGTATACGACGGGCACGGCTGCTCACATGTAAGCAAGAGACCTCCTCGTCGAATAGGAGGAATATCTAGGTCTTCGTCCCCGGCCACCGGGATAATTCTCCTCATGTTCTCGGACTTTCGCAGGTAGCGGAGGCGTGTAAGGAGAGGATGCACGAGCTGGTGGCGGAGGAGCTGGCGGGTCTCCGTCACCCCGTCGGCGCGGAGACGGAATGGAAGGCGGTCATGGAGAGGAGCTTCGCTCGCACGGAGGAGGAGCTGTTGGAGCGTTGCAATGGCGCCCCGCGAAGCGCTACGTGCCGGTGCGAGATGCAGGCCCCTGACTGCCTCCGCGTGGGCTCAACGGCCGTGGTGGCCGTCGTTACTCCCGATCGCGTTGTCGTCGCCAACTGCGGCGACTCCCGCGCCGTGCTCTGCCGGAATGGCGTCGCTTTCCCCCTCTCCTCCGACCACAAGGTAAGAAACCGCGCAAGCAAGCACCCGCCCCCTGCCGGCAATAGCCGTGCTCACGCATCTATCTGATCATTTACGTGCTGACTGCAGCCCGAGAGGCCGGACGAGTTAAAGAGGATTCAGGCGGCGGGAGGACAGGTGATATACTGGGACTGCCCCAGGGTTCTCGGGGTGCTCTCCATGTCGAGGGCCATCGGTAAGCTTCTTCTACCTGAAGGCGCCGCGAAGTCGCCATAGCCAATGAATGTCCACGGCTAATGAATGTGCCTGCGTAACCACATTCAGGCGACCATTACCTGAAGCCGTACGTCACGTCGGAGCCGGAGGTGACGGCGATCCAGAGGATGGAGGAGGACGAGTTCCTGATCCTGGCGAGCGACGGCCTATGGGACGTGGTGCCCAACGGCCTCGCCTGCAAGGTGGCAAGGATGTGCCTGCGCGGCACCGCGCCGCCGCTCTCCCTCGGGCCAGGCGCAGCAGAAACAGGAGAGGGACGCGCTGGGGGTTCCGACAGGGCGTGCTTCGAAGCCGCGCTGCTTCTAACGAAGCTCGCCGAGGTCCGTCAGAGCGCGGACAACGTCAGCGTGGTGGTTGTCGACCTTCGGACGACCAGCTCCCCGCGCCCGCCTTCCACGAGGAAGAAGAAAGCGGTGTAACAGTCTTCAAGCGCCATCTTTCTCCTTCAATTCTTGGACCATTTTTTCTCCCCAGGACCATTCAACAGTAAACTTTTTAATTGGCTGACGCTAAAATCCTACAATCGTGGTCCCCAACCCCCCCTTCTAAGCCTCCTTCATCACCCGAGCGGATCAGTCAAGGTCAACCGCCGCGTGGCGCTCGCTGACTCCCCACAGGAAACTGCCGAGAGGGAGAGGGAGAGAGAGAGAGAGAGAGAAGGAGATGGACGCTTCGAAGCAGACAGATGGCGAGTCGAAGTCCAGTTGGAATTGGATTGTTGCCCATCAGAGACCAGGAGGAGACCCAACAGAAGAACGGTCGGTGAGAGCTCGTTAAGAGAATCGGCCTACCGACCCTGGTCCAACGTCACAGGCCCGAAGCGATGACAAAACATAAATCTTTTGCATGAGATTACCCACCTCCATAAGACGTGCTCACTTCATTCCTAATATAGCAATGTGGTAATGGGCCAGAGTGCTTTCCAACGGCTGCCACATCCTTCACACCAAACCCCAAGGTTTCCGGATGTTCTCACGTTGACTGAGAGATGAAGGCAGCCCGAGAACCTGGAGCATACAAAGGGTTTGACCATGAACGGCTCTGGGATCCGATTCCACCCCCAAAATCGGGTCTTTGTTCTTTTCTTTGTGGATAGACGTTGATTCAGTGAACAACAAGCGCCGCCGCCGACTTCGAGGGGGGGGGGGGGGCGGGGGGGTTATCCATGCTTGCTTCTCGGTTCCCGCCTCTCCTTGGCGCGCTTCTGAGTCTGCCGGCCCCTGATCTTCCACTTGTCGTTCCCCGCGGGCCGCAGGGCGTCTTCGATCTCTCGGACCTTCCGCTTCCTGCAGAAAGGAACAGGACGCTCATCAAGGAAGGAGTCACGATAATCCAAAAGGGCAATTTCTAGTTATTTACTAAAATGCCATCCAAATCCCAAAGCGGAAGATCCTTGATCTCCCTGCGGTGTAGAATGGTGACCTGTATGTCCGGAGGGAATGATCCGAAAGCAGTTCACCGGCGATTGTTGACTTCCTCTCCTTCTTGGTCAACCTGCCTGAGAAGAAGTCGGATGTGGATTCGATCACGGTGCCCAGCTGCACACCACCAGGAGCGAAATTGGGATCATCTTCACAGGATGTAAAGTGCTACATCTTCAGAGAATGGAACAAGCAATTTGCCTGGAAATATTTTGGGAGAGTCTTTGACTTGGAGTCCCCCTTTTTGTAGTGCCTCTTTGGGTCGATAACACTTCTCAGCTGCAAGATAAACACCATCAGTGGTCTGAAATGAAATGAATCATAATGTAGCTAGATAGAATGCTTGCATACATTTGTTGATTGGCTTGAGGAGCTTACAAATAAATTGACTAACCAGTCGCAGATCCTCCCATTTCAAATATAACCCATCCGAAAACTTATTTATTGATAATAATAAGTATATAGATAATGTAGCACGAACATGTTCCAAAAAGCCTAAAAATAAAATTCTCCGAAATATTTGGATCCATCAAATGTTAAGTGAAGAATTGTGATTAGGTTGGGAATGTCAAGAAGAAAATCAAAAAAGTGGAGGATGCCAATGTTTATGAAAGGCAATAATTTTTTTCTCACAGTATGAATTCGTGTCTCAAGAAGCAAGCTTTATGGAGCACTTGTGTTGACCTGAATTGAATAAGATGGTGCGATTTTATGCCATGTCGTGTTTTAATGGAGCAAAAATGGCAAGTTCTGCGCATATCTCAGCTGGTTATTTCCAAAAAGTCTCAGAAATATTTGTCATTTGTACTATGAGTGCAACTGAATTTGAGGGGATTACCTATTGTGATATAATCAGTACGGACAAATAAAAGGCTGAAAGAAGATTACAAAAATGATATATTACCAAATCTAAAGGCGTCCAAAATTGAATTTCTGATAAAACAGCTAATCAACAGGATCTATGACAGTTATGAGGATCTTCTATTTATTACTTCCCACCCAAATAAATCCAGCGCAGCTGCCATGCAAGAACGTTTGATATTGTTTATTCTCTTCCCTTACCAGAGCAATTAAGATTTTTTCATTAGAGTCAGATTGGAAATGATTGATTTCAATTCAAACAAACCAACTTTTGGAATCGTAGCTTGAATCTTCATATAGCTAAGCATACTTCAATGAAGTTCAAGCCCTCACAAAAATAAGGATTGCAACATTCATCCGTTGTCCGATGATTGCAGCAGACGTTAGAAAACGCAATACAGAAAGATCATCATTTCAATCATCATCCACCAGAACCTAACTAATTGGTGTCGGTATCACATCCTCTTTGGGCATTCAATTCTACCACTCTGATTCTATGTAACTGCAAAGCATTTTCTAGAAGAAAAAATCTTATTCCAAAATCATTGCTGAACATTATCAGGCAAACCTAAATAAGGGATCTCTAGACCTTCAAAAGAGTATTATGAAACACACCTTCAGGATCTCTAGATCTTTCTTTACTTCGGGAGTGATAGTTGGAGCAGGCATGTCGAACCTGAAGAACATGATGAATGATTTCAGGCATTATAACATTTAACAAAATTACAAATATAGCTTTGAAACATTCAGGTACCAGCTTTTTCCAGATGTATCTTTCACGCTCCTCTTTGTCAGCTTATTCAACTTTCTTGGGTCCCTGGGGGGGACGAACAATCCGTCCACAAGTTCATTTCCACTTTTGAAAGCTGAAATCTGTGGCAGGTGTTTGGATGCTTCGAATGTTCTTTTAGTTTCAGAAGGTACCGTCTGAATCTTTGGAGCCCACGAAAGTCCAACAACAGACTTGCTTTCTGTCATTCTAGTCAAGCAAGAGAACCAAGATCAGCGAGTTCCTGTAAGAATATGAGTATTAGAAAATCAACATTATCATAATGCATGCCATCACACGTTCCAACTAAGGATTACGAAGTAGTCATAGTGGATGCTATGTGGGGACTAGCTATAGAAAGTAGGGGTACCTAATGACTGGAGATGAGAAGTCGGATGCCATTTTCATAGGTAAAATACACAATATATTTGGCAAACAATCGTCGATAGACCATCATCAACTATGCTGCGAGGGTTGAAAATGGCATCACCATCTTCCCATATTCTTGTATCATACGGTGAGCATCTTCAAAAACCACGGCAGGTACAGCTATTTGCTGACTTTGAGTTTGCCGCATCTCTCTCTCTCTCTCTCTCTCTCTCTCTCTCTCTATTCTCTCTGAAAAGTACTAATTTCACCGTCGTTGATGAATTGGTCATCGTTTTGGAATCACCGAAAACAGTTCTTGCGCAGTTCTAGTGTAAGGGAATTGTGGGGAGTCGCGGTGGCCTCACAATCTTCAATGCGGAGGAGTCGGTACAAATACTAACTGCTAGGATTTTGCCATTATTTCAAAAAAATTCGGTTGGCGGCAGGAAGATCTCACACTTCTTGGGATGACATTACCACATGATGTATTCACGAAATCAACATAACGACTTATTTGATCTTACAGAAATTAAAAAAACTTCAATGCATCACATTTGATGAAATCGTTGTATTAATACCTAAAAAAATATTCGAAAAATAATTTCACGAACTGCTGAGAGGATCCGAGAACAGAACAAATGAACTGTACCGATAAAAAAGAAAGCGTATAAATCAACAACTTAGTACGATGCAACTGCACGTATTTAGTCAATGATTGGGTGAGGCCCGCCCACAGGCCTCCGCCTACCCGCACCCAGATCCGCCACCGCCGGAGGAGAAGCCACCGGAGCCTCCAACCCCACCATCGGCAGCCTATCGTTCCCTCCCACGGTGGACAACTACGTATCCACGCCGGAACCACTCACTACGAGCCCCGATGACCACGGGGAAAAGCTACGAGAGTTCCTAAGCTGGTGCAGAAACGAAGTGAGGATGGGGAGGAAGCGTACCTGCACCTCAGTCCGCCCGCCGCCGCACCGCCACCGCCGCCCAGCTCGTAGGCGATGGAGAAGATTGGGGACCGAGGCCCTTGCCCTCTGCCTAAATCGTCACGTGACCAACCCCCCCTTGCCGGAGCCCCCTAATCGGGCATGGTCGACTTAACCCGATAAGGTAGGCCTCCAGCAGGAAGTGAGGGCTACCCACTACAGTTGATAGTCATGTCCGAGTTATTTTAATTATTGGTTACTAATATATAAAGGTTAACCAACCATTTAATGAATTTGTTGGGGTATTAAGATATTCCATTTATAGAAAGTTAAAGCGAGGCCAGGAAAATAAATAAGTAAATTTACAGGCTAGTCTAAAAATTTACAACAAATATTGTGGCCCAAATCCGAATCGGTCCACTAGACCGTGCAGCCGACGTGGCTGCCACGTGAGCATGTACTATTTGTGCTATTTTCGAAATATTCTTTTTGCGTTATTTCTGTTCTCATTTTCTTGGAAAAACCGATTCTTCGAAATATTAAAAATCGGCCAAATTTAATAATACGTTATAAATTAATGGCTCTAATTACTGGTTCCCGACACCGCCGTAGAGGGAAGATTACGCGGACTAAGCGTGAAGATTTCGGTGAGGACACGTCAAGGATCTTTCTCCCACCTTTTTCTCAGAGGCGTTGGACGGAGTTCTTCCTTCTTTCGCTGCAGAAAGGCTAGGAAATGGCGAAGCAATCCCGCCGGCAGCTTCTCGGCTGCTTCGAGTAAAGGAGGTGGGAGGGGGAGAGGACTCATGCACACTTCGAGCGGGTGAGACTCCACGACTACTTCGTGCCTTCTCCTCTCAAGTGGCCCACAGGAAGCTTTATAGGCTCCCCCTCTGGAATGGGGAGCGGTCCGCCTTCCGACCTGTTCCTGAACCGTCTCGGCTTCCCGATGCTTCAGCTTCTGGGCGACGGTTGAGGTGGGCGACGGCCAGCTCCGTCGCCTACGTGGCGTGGTTGAAGAGGCAAGAGCCTCATCACAATCCCGCCGGCAGCTTCTCGGCTGCTTCGAGGAGCTCGGTGCGGAGGCCAGATTCTGAGCGCAACGCCTCTGGACGCGTTGAACGATCGTCCGTCTTTCCCATGGGCGACCAGGGCTCTACCGGTTGACTCGCTGTCAGATAAGATTCCCACTCACAGTAGAGCTTCGAAGTGAAGCAAGCAAAGTCGTCGGGGCGCTGACGGCGGTGCTCATAAAGAACCCCCCGGCCGTGCTTCTCTTGGTAACATTCTCAACAGAGGAAGCAGGAGAGGCGTAATTTTTCTGGCCAATATTTTGTGTGCAGTACTCTGGTAGTTGTGATCCTTTGTCGTTCGCAATTGTCTAATTCGTTCGTAGGGCTTTTGAAGGTTTCCAGCGGGGTTTTGACGTGATCTTCCTGGGCCATTAGCCAAGGTGAATGCAACAGTGGTTTCGTGTGGTTTTTTTAGGATCGATGAAGCGACGTAGATTTTTCCTGCCATCAGTAAGCGTGTGATCCGTGATTGTTGATCATACTCGCTGTTTAGTCTGGCAGCACGGGGAGATGACTCAAGAACTCCGTTATATTTATTTCGATTGCTACGCAATGCTGATCGTTTTCCTGGCTATGAACCGATCAGTGTCAGGGAGAATAACTGATAGTTTCTTTCAATTCCATCTCCACGATTGCTCGAGAATTTTTCTCCCGTTTCTCGTTTCTACTGCAATAATGATTTTTGCTCGCGTTTTTACTCCCTTTCATCTTCAATCAATCCTGCAGTTTAACGTTGCATTTCCTCGAACTGGTTCCACTGAAGCTCGCCTTAATTTTCGCAGCTATAGTAAGAGTGTGGATTGGTTTCATGCCAATCACTGCATTGTTCAACTTTGATTTTAAATATTGTTCATTTCCTTCTGATCAGATAACCTATAATGGCAATGGATTATGGTCAAACATCGAATGCTAATGAACCCTTGTATGGTTTGCTGGAGTCAACACTCGATGACATCCTTTCATTAATCAAACCTGCTGAAGAAGATCAAGTGAGAAGATTGAATACAGTTAAGGATATCAGAACTGCTATCCAATCCGTATCAAGTTTACAAGGTACTTGCCATCTTTTTTAAATTTTTTGAACACTGACTGGTGTTGCCAGCGTCAGTTTTAACTGTATGATCTAGAATGCCCAGAGTCGAAGAAGGTCGCTTCTTAATGTCTGTGTCATTTTCACGAATTTATATTCATTCTTTCTCCTTTCCAGATGTCTGGCAGTTATATTGCTTACTTTTACATATCAAAATTTGAACTCTTGCGATCAGGTACAGCAGTCATCCCATTTGGATCTTACGTTTCCGACCTTTATACAAAATGGGGTGATTTGGATATTTCCATTCAATTATCGCACAATCCATCTTCTGTTGGCAAAAAGAAAAAACAGGATTTGTTACGTGACATAATGAAAGCGCTGATAAAAAGAGGTATATATCCTTGTTCTTTTTCCTTGTGTGCATGTCTTCCTTACAAGTTTATCATTGCATTCCGTATTTTGATGCTAGATCTTTTCAGTGTCCTGTTTGACGGTCACATGGTTGTGTACTAGGGCAGCGTGAAGATTTTCTTTCCTTTCATCTCCATATGTGCAGTTAAAATTAACTTCGGCATGTTTCTGAGTTTGCTGTATATTGATCAGTCCTCGTTGTATCAAGTGTTAGATTTTCAACTCCTACCCGGTGGTACTGTACCTTATTTGGTTCTTCTCCTTATAAGTTTTCATGCGGATTAGAATTTTCCTCTCTATGACACCTCTAGGATTTTCCTTCTATTCGTGCTAGCCTCGGAAATTTCTTGATCTTGGTCCAGATCTTTTATTTCGGATAAAGGTTGCTCTTGCTAGTTATGTTGTGAAGGTTTCCCAATCTTAGGGATGGGGAATGAACTGTTTTGATTTAATTGGAGCAGATCAAAGCGGCCGTATCCCATAATTTCGACCCATTTAACTTGGGCTTTTTTGTTTGGCATTGAACACTTCCAGGATAGCTGGGGTAATGTCTTATCGGCTTATGAGCCTGATGTGAAATGTAACGCGTTTTAGATATGGCTCAACTTCACACACTGAAGCATTATAAAGAAAAAATGGTGAAATTCTCTTCAGTTTCTTATGGTTTTGTAGTCTTAAACTGAAGTTGTGCATGTTCTAAAACAGTGAGCCAAAATAACTACTTATTCTGCCACGATTTTGTGGGATTTAAATGTTTTGAATGCCACATTGATTGTCAAAGAGTGGCTTAATTCTACAGGCATGCTGTCTCTAGTCATGTCTTTTGGAGTTCTTGAAGACTGGGGTAATGACATTGTCATGAACAGTGATGCAAATCCTGGGAGGATATGCAGAGGAAATACGCAAATCGTTTTCACATTATGGCTGACTGTTGTATACAAATGCCAGGGCCAACAAATAAGGAAACTATCTGAAAATTTGGAACCCACTCCTAATTATACGTTTTTTTCCCACAGATATAACTATACAAGACTCGATCATGTTGCATGAAACTAAGAAATATCTGAACTTGCTGGGAGTAATGGGTTGCAAGTAACTTTATCCATCACAGATGGAGCAACTTGCACGTCTGGTCTTCATTTTCTAGCGCTGCCCTGCTCAGTCCATTATTTGAGCTTTTTCCTCTTATATAAGCTCTTGTATTCGTTCTTTTTCTAGCAAAAAAACGTGTCCACCTTAGAAGGAAACCCTTCAGCCATCTCTCTGAAGCTTCTTTTGATATTTATTGATTTATTATCCAGAGAGTTCTTTTTTTTCTTTTTACCTTCATGTTTTCGTTTATCAGGCTTGGGTCATGTCAAGTACATTCCACAAGCAAGGGTTCCCCTTCTTGTCTTTAAAAGCAGGTTGAGGAACATCTCTTGTGATATCTCTATTGACAACCACGTGGGCGAGGTGAAGTCCAAGATTCTTCTTTCCATAGCAAAGATCGACGGACGTTTTCGTGACATGGTTCTGCTGGTAGGTTCTGATCGACCGATATTTCCACTCGCGCCGTCATCTGTTAAATATAGTAAGTCTCCCCTGGGTTTCCTTGTGCATGTAGATCAAAGAATGGGCCAAAGCACAAAACATCAACAACTCAAAAGTCGGGACGCTGAACTCTTACTCTCTCTGTTTGTTGATCATATTCCACTTCCAGGTGAATTATTTTCTCAGCTTCTCCCCAAGGTTTCTTTTTTTTTTTGGGAATTGGGTAGATATCAATTCAAAATCTTTTCGCGGGCTTTGTCTGCTCTGCTTTTGGCCTGATTGTGCAGAATCAGAGGATCTTTCTACAACGTTCTTCTGACCTCTAATGCCTTTTGCAGACATGTAGTCCTGCAATTTTTCCTCCACTGAAGAACATCTACGGGGGGAATCTTCTTGAGGATTTTGCAGGTGCGCATGTTCATCTTCCTCGCCCTATTCACTCATTTCGCATGAGATTAAATTTTCCCAGAAACATAATGGCAGAGATTTGAAGAGATTACAGAGCGAGTATTGACGGAGGTGCTTGCCGTGGTCTGTGTTGCAGAAAGGAGGTTCACCTCTGGGGGAGAAGTTGAAGATCTTTGCGTGGCCAACATAGCTAGCCTTGGACCCAAGCGTGGAGAAAATATGAGCACTCTTCGAGAGCTCCTCATTTCCTTCTTTTGGAAGGTAAGAAATCTCATAAAGTATATAATCTTATAGCCTGAGAAATATGCCTGAAATGGGTTTCTAGGTACTACAATGAAATCAGATTATTTCTTTTACAAAAAGCGGGGAGGGAAAGCTTATTTGTGTTGGAATCATCGCAATCGAGACTTGTTGACCGCAGGCTTAGCAGAAAAGGCGTCTATTTCTGAGTTTATCTGTGACCTCCCGTCTCCCATTCATGACCACACCCGTGAAAAGTCAACGAAAAAAAAAAAAGAATGGCAGAAGACAAGTGTTATGAATAACGTTTGATAACACTTCATTAGTAGAAGTCGCAATATTTAATCTTAAAATGGCAAAATTTGGCCCTTTGACTTGTGGATCCATCTTTTTTTAGTTTCTAGTCAGCTATCCGATTTAATGTTGGCTCCCTGGGTGGGTTTGACCTGCCACAATCCGTCCATCCTCTTTGCAGTTTTCTAAATTGAAGGAGCTGGCCGAGGATTACGCCATCTGCCCATACAGCGGACGGTGCGAACCCATCGAGAATAAACCGCAGTGGAGAGTAAAACCCTACAAGTTGATTGTGAGTGCCTCCCCCCGCTCTTCCTCTCTGCAGGCCGCAGCCGCCATTGAGACGGGCCCTCGACCGCCAGCCTGTTGACCATCTGCGCGCTTTCTCTTCTCTCCATTTCCAGGTGGAGGATCCCTTCGAGGTGCCCGACAACGCGGCGAGGGCCGTCAGCGTCCCCGGGCTGGCCTTCATCTCCAGGGCCTTCGCGGATACTTTCAGGAAGCTCTCTTCCACCGAGGTGCTGTCAGACAAGCGCGCCCTCCTCGGATCCTTCCTCAGACCTCACGCGCTAGTCCATGCCGGAGTTCCCCCCCTGGAGAATCGAGCAGCAGAAGCCAGCCGCGGAGGCCGCCGGCCGGCCGCATGGTTCCCTTCCTCGCGCCAGAGCGCCGCTCCTGGGGGAGCCCAGCGAGGCCGGTGACTGGCGGGGAACTAGCTACCAACCCTGGCATCTAGGGTTCTTGCGCTTCTCCCTCCCCGCTTCCCGGGGAAGATGGACGATGGCTCCCTTGGGACCCATCATATCGTAGTGTGTTCATCAGGAGTCTTTCATATACGTAATAATATCATCATCTACAGCCTTTCGACACTCTTCAGAGCACGCAAAAACGCAGGGCCGGTGCCTGTTTATTGCCAGACCGATCCCCCACGTCTGAAAACAATAGATGAAGCCGATCAACCAGCAGCTTCACTTCTTGGACGACCCGCTTGCCGGTTGAAGGGTCGCCACGGATCCCTTCCGCCGCCGCCGGTGCCTTGAGCTGCAAGCCGGGTTCATCGGCGGCGCAGGGGCTTCTCGCACCTCATCTGGCGCCGGCTGGAGTAGGGGCCCTCCTCGGTGTCCCCGAGGGCGGTCCTCCACCCCATGGCCTCGGCGATCTCCTGGACCTGCCTGACGACGGCGGCGGCGTCGCGGATGTACACATGCCCGCCGGGCCTCAGGATGCGATCCATCTCGAGCAGGATCCCAGTGATGTTGCACCTGAACGGCGGAGACAGATGATCGATTAATGGAGATCATCTATTAATGAAGAACCCGACCACTCCTCCAACTAACGCTTATGATGATATTCAAAATCCGCTGGTAAATGCTGATTTTTTTTAAAAAAATGTTAACATAAATTTGTGAATAAAGTTTACATTTTAGTGATGTAAAGAAATAAGAAAATAAAGGAAATATCATGACAATAAGAATAGAAAACTGCAGAAGACCATGGTAGTTGGCGAAATCTTGATGTTATTCATCTGGATCATTGTGCAGTTAGGAAGAACCATAAAATCTAGAGAAAAAACTGAAGACCTGCATCTGCAAACCAAGAGCGCAGGTATTTCATGTAATGCATAAGCTGTTTCTGAAGAGTAGAAATGGTGATTGTTGAGGATAATTATGGTTCGGTGACCAATGTATGGTACTTGTAAACATGGGTATGAGACGAAATCAAAGATAGATGGCTACAAAGTTGGTTTGATTGAAGCTGGAAAATCTATTTATTACAGTTCAAAGGAAGGAGACAGGGTGGAGTCCATCACATCCCTTGGACAAGTGATGGGCAATGTTTGACCATCACATTCTTGCCTGATGCACCAGGACTCTGACACCACAGTCCAATGATTGGTGAATATTTATGCTATACTTTATGAATAGGCGACAAATTATTCTCCTATAAGCTATAAGATGGCATACTGGTTACTTACATACAAATCGAAGATTATCTTTCAATACCATGGGAGATAATTTGGAGGAAAGATGGATAATCCCACATGTATAAGAAATTTGGAAATGACAGATTGCTATGTTCTCTCCTGGAGATCATGTACGTGGTGCAGTATAATCAATAGAGGAATTACAACGCTGATTCCTTCATCACTATTTTTCGCATTATAAAAAACAAACAAATCTAGAGAGATCTCTTGGGGAGGGAGAATATTTACCTCTTCTGTTCCCTGGAGAAGAGACCAGATGCCTGCAGGAGGTCATAACTTCGTGGGTATGTGTCAAATGGTTCGCACCTGTTGAGCAATATTTTAAATGTCTCAGAGAAAAGATGCAAATATAGACGCCAATATATAGTCCGAGACCAAGATAGGCCAGTTTTTTTTTTTCTTTTGAAAATTAACATTCAATAGTCAACAATGTTGGGCATGGTCTAATTGAACGTATTCTGCCACATGACTATGTATAGTTTAATCATACGAGTCTCTACTCTTGATCGTCATATATTATTTTTAAATCTATTTAAATAATCTTCATTTACCACCTTCTGAAGTCCCAAAGAACATAGAATTTAATATCAGCCCATGACCAATTGTAGATCAAGTAAAAATGGCATCCCTGTTCCGCAAACTATTAGGTAACATATTAGTGAGAGAGAGAACAATCAGCCAGCCATAGGAACACGAAGATAACCCTTAGCCATACACCCTTGGAAGAAAGATTCTACATAAAAAGGAAACCCTCGTGCTGAGAGGGGGGAAAAAAATATGCCAGAGGTGAATGACGACATACCAATCATGAGCAGCTCCAATAAGTCCACGGTCATATATCACAGGCAGAGTGTTGGGTCCACTGGTAGGAACAACATTCATCACCCACGCATCGATCTGTAGGTCAATCATTGCTGCTGCAAACCTGTCGTTTTTATGATAAACCCATTCAGAACACAGGTAGAGATGAAATCTGCAGAGAACAGTAGACAGCAACCAACGGAATGAATGCCATTTGATTCATCAAGAAATGATCGATAGAAATGGCTCGTCTCCAGATTTCTTGCTTGGCATCAAGCTCAAACAAGTCTTCCTACAAAAAATGGGATATATGTGTGTATATTATCCAGAAAAGTGGCCATCGTACTCCTTGCAACATCTTGGAAAGACTGGAATAAGATACAAAGTAGGACAGGCCCGGTCAGGAACATAGGCATCTGGCATGTCAAAAGGATGTAAGATGCCTTTAAAACATGGATTACTGAGCAGAACTAGCCATGGGGGACCCCATAATTTTCACACGTTAAGAAGAGAAACACATGTTCTCTGCAGTCTATATCAATGAAATAACCTTGGAGACCAGTTATAACATCAAGGCACGTCCAGATGGTGCGCTTCACGGATACACCTTTTAAAGAGAAAGAGATGTTCGTGTTAGATCAAGACACGTACACAAACTTTCTCCAGTCTGCTATTTCATATCACACGAGTATGTGATCTGCAACAAGACTTGTTCAAAATAATTGTAAAATAAATTTAGCGTGGGTTAATTATTGTGACTACGTTAAAACCAAGACATGAATTCAAAGAAACTTATCGAAAAAGTGAGGAAATAGTTTGATATGTAAATAACCATCATTTTCTTGTAAACAACCTTCCCCTTTAATATGCTTAGTTATGAACAAAGAAGCGAGAACAAGTCTGTCCAAACAGGAATTCGAAATGAAATCTAATGATGTCTGTCCAGGTAACATTTGTAAAAGAACGAAAATAAAACCGATCCATACCCTCCAAATCCAGCTCTCATGTCCATGACATTTCGAAGTTGGAGCTTTTTCCAGTGGAAGGCACGGACATAGCCTTCAATGATACTAGTCCAATATCTCGCCTCTGCCATAAAAATCTCATCTTTAGCCATGTAGGCATCCATTTCCACACCCTCTAGCCTATCTGGTGGGTGATGCAGGCGAGCTGGCCATGCCGTTATATTTGCCCCATATTTATTCTCTGGGATACGGCTGATGCATGGTTTCAGATTGGCATACCTACAAAAGAGGACAAAGGGATATCACCTTCTAGAACTATTTACAAGGAGATAAATTGTAACATATATGAATCAATGCAGATCAATAATCTACCACATACCCAAAAATCATAAGACAGAGCATTAAAGACTTGAAAATTAATATAAACATTAATATCTACTGTAAAATGGCTCGTTAAATGTGACCAATTGGGACAGTAGAAAACGACTTAAACAGCTTTCAACCGTCCATAATGCAACAGAAAAAGGTATCAGATAATACCAAACTTTGTCCGGATTTTCGTCAGCATCGCATAGTGGAGGTTGAGTCTCAGGTTCACGACTGAGATAGCAACTGTTGTTAAAAGGCTTCTGCCAAATAGCAATATAACCTTCCTTCTTCACAAGTTCCCAGCACATTCGTTTAGTAAGACCCTCCATGTCTGTATGTAGTGCTATCAGACTTTAGGAGACAGCAGAACAAAAGAAGCACATCCTCAAATGTCACAGAGATGAAAACATTACGGTTCGACCATAAGGAGCTTGAATATGAAAAACGGAGCAGGAGCGACTGCGAATAATCTTAATTGACGACCAGAAACCTAGACATGAAATGATACCAATGGTCTGGGACTGTGTTCCTTTAGTGGATTATTGTCATCTAATCCCAGTGCAGCTCAGCAATTGTTTTTTGAGCAATGGAAAAAATAAGAAATGAGGGTATCAGGCGGCAATGATACAGCCCAAGGAGAAAGATGGCAATGTGATCTTCTGGGTTTAGCAAGCAGACACAGTCAAAGAGCACATTTATTTTTCACGTGTATAGGTTTAAGAGCGATTTAAATAACTCATCAAATCAGAGGATGTCACTTTGAGTGGGAACGAGCAGAGTCTAATTAGATTACGTGATCATGACAAGAAGGGTTCCTTTTCTCCAAAGCAATCTCAAGGATATTACTTTGCAACAAGAGCTCTGGAACACTGCGGGTGATAATTATTGACACTTGCTCATCATACAAATTTGAAGCATCAGGTTTTGTCATCTATCTATTTTTATCGCAAGCTTTGTTATCATGAGATTTTTGCCCATTTGATTTTTATCACATTCGTTGTATTAATTTTTTTTTTTACTTGATAAAGGGTCTTTGACCAACCAGCATCTAATCGGACTTGGGCATTGTCCAATGGAAATCCCTTCAAGAAGGTCGGAGGTTAGGCTAAAGATCCACCAAATCCTTTTTCATACTCCGAGATTTTATGTTCAAGACTCTAAGCTGACTCAGGCTGACTTAGGGTTTCAGAGAGTGATGATGACAAGAGAATTAATATCAGGATACGTGAAAAACATGCAACAAAGTAGTGACGGCATTATTTCTCTTTATTGAGTTGGACGTATAACACCATAAACTACTGGAAAAAAACTCCTTTGAAATAGAAATTACCTCTCCACGCCTCTTGTTGAGACTCTTCATGTTTGTAAACAGGCTGTGCCGCCCAAACAAAGTACCTTCCAGCCCTAAGCAATCTGTTTACCTCGAGTAGCAATATTCCATCTTCAAGATTAGTAGACAAAGAAATCCAGTGAGCAGCGGGGACAAACTCACCAACAGATCAAAAGATAGAACATCATACAAGCTAGACTCATAGTCATATAATGAAAATGAAAATATGTACGCCATCAGATTTCTATAATCATTCTTTATTTACATCTTAAAAACTTAAACACGAGTTCTTACTCTCATCTAAATATTCGTACCGGAAGCCTCACGATACCCAAAATGCACTAAGTTACAAATATCTTTAATTGTATACGAGTGTACATATGTTCTAAGCTACACTGAGCTATACTCTTCAAGACATCACCTAGGCAACCATGTGCAGTAGGAGGAAAAGCGGTTTGGACAAATGGGAAATGGATATTTCAGAATTTTAATTTGCCCAGAAACAAGATTACTACATCGATAGGAAAAACGGCATCAGTGCTGAGCATTTAGCATGACACAAATATATGCACACATACATATATTTATACATACACGGAGAAGGAAAAAATGATAATATTGAGCATGGAGGCGTCAACAACTGTCTTCGACCATGAATTCACTGTCAAGTCGCTAGGCAAAGGATATAAAAAAGTTCCATGTCGATTCAGATATTTATAAAGAACACAGAAGAAATAAATGATAAAATCACTGACAGTATCTAGTTTAGAAAAACATAATTTTGTTGAAACACTGCTGTTGGCTACAATCCAGAGAAAACCAATTATGAATTGGTGAAAAGAAAAGCGTGTTTTATATCAAATCATGACAAAAACTGAAGTCGTTTGGCAAAGAACACCACAGATGCGTGTAATATATATATTTACGGGCATTTATCAATGGACTTCAAAAGATAGACGTCAAACCAACAGCAAGACATCTGGCCACAGTTATAAAATTCATCAAAACATACCATCACGCGTCCAATTTATCCGACATCTTGAACAATGTATCAAATCAAATGCCTGACTTGGGTACAGCAAACGATGAGTTGCAACTGCTGCCACCATTGCAGGAACTCCACGCTCAAGAGCAAACTGAATTTGATTTTCGTGCACATCTTTTGGGGCAATAGACATAGTAATCACATTCCGTAAAAACAAGTAAGCACCGAAGCTAGCTACCCCACATCCAACATCCAGGACAACCCTCGTATGTTGACCAAATGAAATGTCTGGCACCATCTGTAGAATCAAGAAAAGATGAGACATAATAAAATGGATTGTGAACTAAAGAAGAAAACTGAAAGTATACGGACCTCTTCTATTTGATCCAAGTACTTGTCTGCCCCGTGAATAAACTGTGTTCCACCTCCTGGGAATTTAAACTTATCGTTGTCCCTATAAATCCAATTCTGTCCACCCTTATCTTCAACAAGACGTGTATGCGGTACATTACTAAACCATACCTATCAAAACACTATAAATCAATTTACCAAGTATCTGTTGCAAAGTGGAGGAGATTTAAGTGCTGAAAGATTCTAGTTTGACAAATGAAACTGTTGGAAAGAGATATTGTACGAGTTTTTTTGTCTAACACACTGAAAAACAGTTCCTACAACCTCAAAACATGGAACATTTCAAAACTAGTATGCTATTTATTGATGTATCATTCATTCACACCATTTAAATGATATACAGAAGGGAGAGTTGTGCAACTAGCAATGAGATACCAAATGAAGTGATCTATCCTAGGAAAGATCAACGTCTTAGACCTTATAAAGGATTTTTTTTAATGAAAGCATCGTCTGACTGATTCTGCACCTGGATTCATTTAACCTTCTCGCAGAGAAAGATATGCATACTATCCTTTAATTTCTGGACAATGCAACAGAACATCGTATTTCGATCATATTAGTTTTCTATTAAGCATCTACAGTGGCGGGTTCCCAGAGAATTAATAATGTTTCACTTTAATATGTTGTTTCCCTCTCAAACCTGCAGCGTCAACCCCAACTAACTACTACTTTGAGGTAGTTTCCTTCAACCTGCCAATCAGTTTTGCTAGAAATTAGGCAGCGCAGCTAAAGGCAGTCCATCTACTCGTCGACTAAGCTTAAGGTCCGAGATTTAATACTATGGATGCAATATCAGATTATCAATCAGATTTTAATTTCCTGAACAACTTACGTTCTCTCAACACTCACAGTTGCGAGATTTTTAAGTGTGGCGAAATTCCGGTGTCCCAAACCGCACGCAACAAGCCAAACGACTTATAATTCAAACTGAAAAACAGGCTCCTTGAACATGTGAATATTTTTCTCCAAGTGCATCAAAACCAATCAAAAAAAGTCATCAATATTCTTTTCTGATTAAATAATTCAAACTAGGAAGTGGTTATACATTCTGCACAGATATAAAACCAACAGCACCTTAGAAGAAACCAAAACTTGACTTTTACAGCAAAACCACCCAAATAGATCCACAAAACCGCTATATATTTTAAAAACTTTCAGAACTATGGGTATCTGTTGCAGTTTAAATGTAAGGCAATATTTGTTAAACTAAAGATGTCGAACAAAGAATGAGCCATTCATAAGGTCCACGAAAAATTTAACCGCTCTGTGAAATTGTATCACTTAAAGATGATTTCTGCAGGAAAATGGTTAAGTTTACTCATCCAGAGATTTATGTAGAAAAACACATAACATGAGATAAAAATTCTTGCATATGATCTTGTTAAGTTAGATGCCAGGACAATGTACATTGCTATTCCATGGTGTTGATAATTGTGCCAATAAGCAACAATCTTCTATGGGATGTATACATTATCAATATCCACTGGATTAGGATAAACAAACCAATTATATGGTGAAGAATGGTTGACATTACCCATGCGTATGACTAAAAATAATATGAAAAGGATAAAAAAAGTGTCACCAATTGAAAAGCATGCGGGTCCACGTTCGAAACCATTGATGTACATAATGCAACATACACAATAAAGAGAAAAAAACTAGCATGCTTTATGCGATTCATAGTAACCATGAAGCATGATGTCAGTTTTTATATGACATTGTCACGCATGTAAGATAAGTTTATAAAATATTATAGGTGCAGTAAGTTATAGAGAAGTTCAAAGCAATCCCAATCTTTACACTATACAAGAAGAAAATTAGGTTACGGTTACACCTGTGCCTTCATGAAAAATAATAGTCAACAAATTTCGTTAGTCTAAATATATGCATGAAGAAGAGAGCATCCAGCATTATTGTTACATGAATCTCCGCAAATTACAGCCGCCTTGCAGAAGCAAAAGAAAGGTAAATTCTCCCAAGACATAAGACGAGCAACTAACTTCTCCGGCTCATAAAAGTCAAACTTTGAGATCATACCCTGGAATACATGGTCCCAAAGCTCAGCTGGAAAAACAGACTATCTTTTTACCGTCATTAGTCCTGTGGACAGACCAAAACCTAAAGATTCCTGAGACTGCTCTTCCTACAAGCTGCTAAACAGAGGAAGAAATTTTATGTTGAATGAATCAACTGTACACTCCTAATCCCAAATCTTGCATTCAGAGTGTTGATCGACCATCAGGCATAAAATTTAAAGTGTTGTAGTCAAAGCGATTAGAATGATGCTGCATTAATTGAAAGAGGTTGGGAGAGGGACGCGCTACCTCATCTCTGCTCGTGGGCCAGGGAATTGGATACTTGAAGTCTTTAGGGGCTGGAACCAAGCAAGTCAAACCTTTTCCCTCCCCGGGGCAATGCCTCTCGTACTTCTCTCCTCTGTCCGTGGACTCCAGTTTCCTAATGTCCTCCTCGTTATCCAGGCACGGAATGTATTCCCTCATTCCCTCCGGACACAATGGAAACTTCCGAACGCTGATCCCACCACCGTCGGCCCCGGTGGGGTTCCCTGAATCCATGTATGTCTGGTTCTCTCCTCCTTCTCCTCCTCCTCCTCCACCTCCCCAATTCTCCTCCACGTTAGGGTCTGAATCACCGGTATTGAAGTCGTCCGTCATCGTCCCGTTGGCATCTACGATCCCGAACCTCTGCGGTGGGGGAGGCGGTGGGAGTACCAGATCCGACGTCAGGGAGTGGTTATCCGCTGAGTCAATAAGGGAGGAGACGTTGAATTTCTTTTCGGCATTGGGAGAAAGCGCCACGACGGGTGAATGAGTGAATGCAGAGGGAGTCCCGCTATTGAAGAATACAAACTGCTGCGGATACTCGCCGGACCAATGCTTTCCGAGGAAGAAGAAGGCGACGCAGCCAAAGGCAATGAGAGAGACTCTGATCGTAAGCGGCGACCTTAGAAAGTCCACTCTCTCGAAGAGGCCCTTCATCCCCCCTCCGTTCCCTTCGTCGCCGCTGCCTCTACTCCCGTGCTGCGCTTACTCAGTTCTCCTCGATCTCATCGCCATCCCTCTCTGTCGGTGCGATTGACCCGACCACGAACAGTCGGAACACAGAGATAAAGAGAGACTGTGATAGCCTGCGTCGGGAGGCTGGGGAAGAGATCTTGGAACCGGAGACAGATCTAGCTAGGAGGAAGGGACGAAGACGATGGGAGTGCCAACGGGCCGGGCCAAGCCCGGACTGAGCCCGAAAATCATTTGCAAGGCCCGGACATTCGCCTACGGAGACCCCGACTTATAAGCCAACTCCCATTTTTTACAGACATTAATCAAAGGAATATATAGACCCGGGAAATATATTTACTTTTGGTAATCAGAGTAATCTCATGACGCCGGGCCGGGCCGGACTCAGAGACAAACTCTGGCCCGGACCCGTCAGAACGGCCACTCCCGCGTTATCATTTATTCGACGTACTCTATTTACCGAAATTCCTTATAATCTCTTTAATAAATATTTGCATATTTTATATATATGTCCCCAAAAACTTCATTTTTTACGGATATACCCACTCTAATTAGGAGTGGGTCCCTGGGTTGAGCGGGAAAGATCATGAGACACCCTCGTAGGGGTTTCAGAATAATTAAAAATCGTGTTGGATCCATTAATTCAGTAAGAATAATACTCTCACATATAAATAAAGGGTAACGATAGCGAATTCGATTTAAAATATTTTTAAATAAGAAATTTAATGCCTGCCCGAAAATAGATTCATTAGGTTAAATATACTTACGTGTAAAAAGAGTAATTACCTGTTAAAATATATAAAGTATTATGTCGCATTTAAATTATCTAATAGAGAACGATGAAAAAATATATAAATTAATTAATGTCGGAAAATAACGTTTAATAATCGGGCTGGGCGAATTTAATGATCTGGACGAGTCACGTGTCCGGGAGTTGCACAAGTGACGTTGCCACAGAGGCGACGCCCCGTCTGTAAAAAAACAATACGTAGCAATCCCATGTGGGCCCCGTAACTGGGATGAGAACATTGGGGCAATTCTACAATAACAAAGTGTTTAGGCGTTTAATCGACAAAAAACTGCCTAACGTCTCCCGTTAGAGTCCGTTACAAAATAAGCATATATGAGCAGCCGCGACTGACCGCGGTCTGTCGGCGGTCTCCGTTTAGAGATGCCTCCGGTGGAAAGAGGCTTCCGCCGCCGTGACCTTGGTTTCTCTCTCTAGACCTTCTTCAAGGAAGTGTTAGTGCCGGATTCTACTACGTCTCGCCGATCGGCCACACGTGCGAGGAACTCGTGCGCACACCGTTGACCAGCCTATCCCGCCTTCAAAATGAGCTCGCGATAGGACCACGATGTCTCTGCAGCAGCTGCATCAGCGGCCACAGAATGTCCATCCTGTGAAAGCCCCTCGACCCCTGTTGACCAATCAAGCCAATCTCAGAAACGACGGCGTCAACCCTTGGTCAACTTAACCACGGCCGATTCTCAACTCAAGAGATAGAAAGAGAGAGAGAGAGAGAGACAGACAGACAGACAGAACCTCGACGATGAAGTGGGCCCAGAGCTCGTGGGACCGCGTTTCCAAGACTCCCCTCAGAATGGTCAAATCGAGGTGTTTGATGACCTGGGCAATCTCCAAGAAGAGGCCGTAGTCGTCGCAGAGCATCTGCGAGGGGGAGGGGGCGTTGACTATCTCATTCGTCTTCCTCATCTGGGTAAGGGGGGGGGGGGGGATTGATTTTGATTTCACTGAGAGGGATGGGTTACCTCCACGAGCATGTGCCCCGGCTGATCGAGGTTCTCCACGACTATGGGGCAAGCTTCCGCCTCGCTCACGAGGTCGCAGGCCCAGCGCGCTCCGCTCGGGGGGGCATCGGCCTCTGCGGATTTCCTCTTCTTGCCTTTGACCTGAACCATGGTTTCAGCCCACATCCATCAAGAAGTAGGAAAACGTTGACCAAACACAGAATGAAAGCCCGGGTCAACCCGGTTTAAGATGACTGCAAAGAAGGGGGCTGCCACGGTCGCCACCTTCAGCTGGGCGTACTGTCTCAGCTTCTCCCCCTGGTTCGAAATGCTCTGGAGGAACTGCATAAGCTTTATCGTTCTGTCCAGGAGCGAGTCGATGCTGCACTGAAGAGCACAAGCAATGCGCGTGAGACCCCCACGTTCATCACCATCATCATCAACTCTGATTTGACAAACTGGAAGGTCAAGGATGATCACCTTAGAAGCATTGGGAACGAGCTCCCTCAGCTCCTTTATACGATCCTGGATCAGCTGCCGGTCCCTCGGCCTTGGCCGGTGGGGGAACGGCGGCGACACCGTCCTCCTCTTGAGCCGCTCACAGGAAGATGGTCCCTTGGTTTGCTCTTCGTCCAGCAGCATGCTGCTGCCGCTCCTGGATTGGGACTCGCCCGGAGAGGTTGCCGGAGATTTTAATGAAGGGTCGGGATGAAAAATCCTCGAGGCCGGATGATCCGCCGCCGGTGGGTCCACCTCTGACTTGATGTGGGTCAAACATGAGCCGTTGAGCTGGCCGAACGAGCTGGTCGGAGATGCGCCGCCGGATTGATCGGAGGCCAGAAACTCGGAGACGATTGAATCAAGGAGACGATCCAGATCGTCCTGCTTAGAGAACGACCCGGTGAACTCCGAAGGGATAAAGCTCTGAGCTCCAGATTCCGCCATTTCTTCAGACGGGGAGGAGCTGCTGAGCAGGTTCTCGCCAGAAAACCAGGTGTCGCCGCCGCCGCCGCCGCCGTAGCCGTCAAAGAAACCAGTCCCAAGCGATTGGTGCAGCTCAGAACCCGCCGGCAGGCCCCAGCAGGGTTCTTCTCCAAAGGGCCAGTCAACCTCCCCCACCAGATCCTGGTCTTGAGAGCATAAAGCGACTGGTGGAAAAGCTTTGATCTCGTCCTCGGGAGAGAAGATGGGGATGCACTCTTCTATGACTTCCGAGAGATCAGGGCACAGAGATTGATCATCGTCGACTCCGCCTCCTGAGATAGCGCTGTAAATTGCCCTCCAGGAGTTGCCATCGAGGCATAGATCGTCGCCCATTCCAAGTATGCTGTCATCCTGAGAGATTGAGGCGAGTTCTGGGACCCTGAGAGACGGAGAGACATGAGGATGAATATCTGCCGTGTTCTTGCTCATCTTGTCAACCCTGGGGGCAATCAAATCTTGCTCCCTTGATATATGACCTTGCCGGTTGAAACCTCTGTCCGCGAATGACAGAAGATTTGGGTGCGAGAAGGAGTCGAAGGAGTCGAAGGAGTCCCAGGCCGCGGCAGGGCGCTCGACGTCGGCGCGCCGGAGGGCGGAGAACATGTCCTCCACAAAAGCCACCGCTCTTAGATCTTCCTCAACCTGAAGAACAACGAACGGCTCTTCTCATATATTTCGCATGTGCACGGATCGAGCGACGAAGAGATGGAAAAAAAAGACGCACCATTTCCAAAGATCCCAGCTGGACTACGCCGAATGGAACGATGGGCACGAACAGAATTGCCTGAAAGGTGATAAAATGGGCGATCAGAGCTCGCCAGTGATGACCAAGGGAACAATGGGCGGCGAGAAAATAACACCAACTGCAGATTTTATCAGGAATATACGCATGCTAGGCGACAGAAACGGAGAGCGCGTATATGATATATCGATCGTTCTTCCTTTACTAATACCATTCATCTGCCCACCAGATTAGCAGAGTAGCGGCAAAGCGCATATCCATGCCTGGTGTGGAGATATAAGCTCCGTTCTTCATCTACGGGAAAACTAGAAACAGAAGATTTTCACAAGTGGGCAGACTCGTACCGTTTTTATTTCATAACCCATCAAGAACAGCATCAGAAACTATTTTACTAGCCACAGACTTAGCGCTGGAGTGGAGACCATAAAAGAAATATAATGAACAGTCTTCCAATAGAGATGCTTATTACCTTGATACCGGCGGCAAATTGGGGCTGCAACTCCTCTGGATACTGCAAGGATTAAAAGACACAGGCTTTTTATTATCCCGCACCAAGTAGAAGTGATCTTTCTGAATGTTTTTATTCGCGATTTACGGACCTTTGAAGTAACTTTGGAATTGAAACTTTTGGCGACAACCCAGCGATGCTTCCTGGTAGATGCAACTTTGCCAACAATCCTGTGCAAAGAAGATCAGAATTCTCATGCTTTAGACCAGAAGATAAAGCTGAAACAGTAGCATTTGTATATAAAACATGAAAATTTAACTAAGTTTACATGCAGTTCTACAGATAACTTGTAAATTTCGTCCGTTAAGAACGGGGAGAGGGATTTTTTAGCAGAAAAATAAAAAAAACATCAAAAAAATATATCATGGGTCATAAAAGGCAACATTTTCCCCTAATTTATTGAATATTTTCCGATGCATACCCTTGTCCGAGTGAATATAAGTGACAGGACATATTTGCAACAGCTAGCTCAATGGAACATCCTGCAGAGCTTCCATCCCATTCATTCATTCCATTGGAGAAGGATATTAATCCACCTTCTCCACTGTAATATCCATTCCAAGCAACTGTGGATTTTGAGGGGACACAGTAGCCATCTTCCCACGCCAATATCCTGAGAGCCATTCAAACGTGTGAGAACCTCAGTAGAAAACATCACTGAAAAAGGAAAAAGAAATTGAATGCTGAATAAGAGAAGCCGGTTTCAAACTATCCTAGAAACCACATACATGTTTTTCTTCAACAAAAAAAAAAACTACATGAGTTTTGACAGTCCGCCATCATAGAGGAGTCGGAGCACAGACACTTGAGGCAAGACCCTTTGCTTTTTCAGAAAAGTTTTTCTCCAAGATCTGTGGAATTTCACAGCTTAGAAGATGATCAACTGTTCCAAGAGCAGATTTTGGCATCAGGTCAATGATGGATTTCCTTTTATTCACATCTTTTGCAGTATTCTGAGATATAAAACGACCACATACATCAAGGTCTGGTTATCTAATGAAGGAGTGGGGTTATACTTCAATCTATGGCCATTATAATACTATATTTTCACAATTTCTACCCCGAAAAGCATTGTGACGGTTGAAATATGCACTAGAAACATATTTTTAAAACGCGAGATTAGTTAGCCCCAGCCAAGTCTGTGAGAGCAAGGCCGACTTGGTTTCCTGTCCTTACAAAATATTTGAAAGATAAAATCACACCTCCATTTATTTTCTTCGACACTTGATCCTACTAAAACAAGAAATCCTTATTTTTCAGTACTGCCGCGGCCTATTCAATCCATGGAGTTGAACCATTTATTTGAAAGGATGTGCATGATACGGCATAGGCCTATATGTTCCTGAGCCCTTCAACCATGCAAGTAAATGACCATGTTACCCTCACTGTTATACGAAAATTTCATTTAAAACTCCTACCGATCAGCACCCTCCGACCACGCCTCTAACCGAGCAGCAGGCACACCCATCTCTCATTCTCCCCTTAACAACTATTCCCCGCCATCAGCCTCTTCCTCAAACCCGCCTCCCCCCCCCGCCTCAACACCCAGGCCCTCCTCTCGTCTCCCAGATCACAACCCGGAAAGCTCCCTACCGAGACGTGAACGGCTCCCAAGGATAGACTTTTTCGACGCATCATAAATAGTTTAATGGGGTCAACAAGTGGGTATGGAATACTCGGCACAAGGTCGGAATCAAAATTCATCGCCCTCAGATGACGGATTGTCGAGGAAAATAAATCAAGACAAAGGTTTTTTTTTTACAACTCAAACATTTTCTTGGAACCGAGATGACGTAAACCCGAATAAAATACTCTTCGCTCGTTTATCTACTCTTCTGATCCAAGAAACGGAGATTTAGAAATCGGGGAGGAGGAAGAAGCGAGAGAGGAAGCGTCGAGAACTGTTCATCCGATTTTCCCTCAATCAAAGGTACAGTAAAACGAACGGAATTTACGCGGGAGAGGCGTAAAAAGAAGGGGAAGATATCAATTGGTTTCGCAAGGTCAAGGAGACGGTTGAATAAAACTTACGTGTGGCTTCGTCCCTTGAACTTCCAAAAGACAGCATACTTCCATTGCGCGCGACGGCAGAGACTCCTCAGTAGCTGTCTGAGTTCAGTAACCTTCCCCATTCCACAAGCCGCAGTTCCCTTGTCACCACTCCACGAAATAAACAAAATCACTAGGTCACTACACCACAATCTGGGCTAACTCCCTCTGTATGAGCCCCGCCCAGCTTGCTTTCTTCGCAATCCGGCACAAGGTTTAATCGGCGGACCCATCGAACCCACAAAAAGATTGCTCATTACTCTCACCGAATCTCCCAATAAATCACCTGCTCTCGAGGAGTCGTCTAGAGACTAGACAAATACGCAGAATTATAAAGTGAAAGAAGCACATGAGGAAGGTCGACGTTCTCAGCTTTTTCGAAGTAGACCGACAAGATGTCTGTCTAACTTCTTGGGGCCTCCTCCTTCCTCGATCTTCACCGCACAGCCACTTCCCCAGCCCCCCACAACCTTCCCCTCAAAAAAAGAAGAAAATCAGCAAAATCGAGCTGAACTTCCAGATCGGCGATGGACAGTGCCGATTATATTCACTATATCTGCCACTGCTCTCAGGGGGAGCACTTGTTGGATTCGCTTTCAAAGGATTCCGGTCGCATATCTTCTACAACAGCTTAGTATTAGGCCTCTCTCCTCGTTCTTTTCCAGAGCCAACATTCCTCCGGCTGCAGAACTCAATGCCGCTGCAACCAATTTCAAACACTAAACAATTTTTTTCCAGAAAACAAAAAGAACAGTCGAAACGAAAGATCTACAATAATTTATAACTTACGTAAGAAAAACTGAAACAACGAAGCGAAACACACGCCACCCCCGATCACTCGTCCTCTATCTCCTCCAAACAGAGACTCCAGAGAAGAAGCCTCCTCTTCTTCCCAATCCCGACGACTAACACCGGCGACAACAGACTCGAAATCCGTATAACCTCACGGAAAGGCAACTTTGAAAAGATCCAAAATCGACGAGCGGACCCAAGCGGGACCCGTCATTGCCGATTCTCGACAATTCCACCCGTCCCTCGATCTCGCTCAGAGATTCGAGTAAGCACGAGGTGAGATCTCCAGGAACACGGCCTCAATCGTCGTCCTTCGATGGCGCCCCGCTCCCGCAGCGAGCACAGAACTGCCGCTGCCTGGAGCTCTCCAGAGATCAACGACGAGGCGACCTGAGAATCGAATCTCCTCCCCCGGCCTCCCTCCCCCCGTCCTCCCTATAAATAGCAGATGCCAACTCCTCTTCTGTCGGATCTCAAACCTCCCAAAACCGCAGTTCATAATCCCGCGCGCCCTCAGTAAGTGGGATTCCGGGCCCACATTCGCCTTGCTCTATATTTTTCGTATTTTAAAAATAAAAGTCCCGGGGGGGTCGGTCGATCCGTGACGTTTTCCAGAAAACACGTGGCCCAATCGTGTCTCCTCCGGGTGAAAAGATACGAGATACAGATTCCCTCGGTGGGCCCCTACCGATGACAGCGCTTTTTCTACTGGACGAGAATACTCTCGTAGATCCTCCCTCTTCTCCACGTCTGGCCCACACCGCGGTTGTATAGGCCGGGCCTCAGAGACACACCTGGCTCGTCCGATTCGAATCGGAATCGGCCTGGCCAATCCGATTTGCTGGCCCGGCCGGAAGTATTATTTTAATAGACGAATCGTTCGGCTCAGTCGCCTGATCCCCCTCCTTGGAATCGCCGCCTCCCGATTCGACCCCCTAATCTAATCCCGAACAACTACGGGAGTTGGTGGATTTACGCGATAAGATGGTGGGTAAGAGTATCTTATTATACAAAACGCTCTTATTAACCGGGTGATATGGGGACACGTGGAGTGTCGCGCTGAGCTGGCGTGGATGGTGGAGACAGGGAGAGCCGTAGGGGAACGAGCTTCTTCGTTTCCTCGTTTGGCTGGACGCTTGCGGATTCCTGACACCAGCAGAGGATTTTAAAATCCACAAAGAGGGAAGGTGACATGGACCTCATCCATAGTTTTAGCGTCTGCCACGTCGGCTGGTTTCCGGCGGAGGGCTGACGTGCGCAGAGGGGATTAAAGATACCGGTGACGCCTCCGGGAGGAAAGGGCCACTGCTATTAAGCGAATCTGGTGGTAACCGGCAGCTGGCCAGCTTGGGCTAACCGTCCTCTGGCTCTTCGGGCTTCCGAAGTTCCACAACGGTTAATAGAAGGTTGACTATTGAGATATTTCGGGGGAGTGGTGCTGACGAGGATTTTGTATTTTCCGCCGCACGACGCCACAGGATTCCAAGAGCGAGAACGGCCCGGATGGTCTCTCGGCCCGGCCCGATGGGGAATTTTCAAGTATAAGTTTCTGAAAATAAAGCTAACTTTGCAAGGCCCGTCCACCTTTATCCTGTACTTATGCGCTCGAAACCGGGGGGGCCGGCTCGCGGCCCGCCCCCCTGTCACTGACACCCCATCACCGCTGACAAAATTATTGTTGTCTGAAGGGCTCCAAGTTGTTATTAAAGAACGACCGACAAACTTCCATTTACTTGCAAGCCATATATGTTGACTCTAGCTATTTTTCCCTCTTACTTATTCCGGTAATGGTAATCATCAATTAAATAGTCAACGCCCATCGGAATCCTCCGGGGTGGTTTCGACAAAGAGGGGGGCCTGTCGCTTGCTCGGCAAAGATACCGGGCCCACCATTGGCTCCCAATGATGAAATGGCCTCCCCTATTTGACGTTTTAAGAGGCCCAGCCCCCGGTTGAGACGGCACACGTCAGCAGTGACGTGGAGATGGAGTTGACTAATTGGGAGGCCCCCCCGCCCGAGGAGGAGCAAGGTCGAGTCGCAGCAGCTGATCTCCATCGGCGGGGGTTCTCGTCCTCTCGGACTCAATCAAGCGCCGCCGAAACCCCCACCGGGGCCCACCTGGGGAGGCCAACTAGGCCGACAGAAAGCGACCCGAGCAGACGTCAGATGCCCATCGGACGGCTCCAACTTCACCGGCGGCACTAATCACGGGCCAGAGCTGTTGCTGTTAATAAATAACGATGATGACGGTAATAAATATCTATTGTCCTTGTTAGAGAGCCGACAATCAGATGATAAGACGCTCGACATGACGGCTCTTGTTTCAAGCTCCGGATGGTCTTGGACCCTCCGATCGGTATCTCTTCCAGCTGGTCTCATCTGACGGCAAACATCGTCCGACCAGTTAGTACAGATAAAGAAAGTTCGAGGAGGAAACTCGCAGCCGACTCCATCGCTGAAAGGGAGACTTCCACCCAATTGGTGTGGGGCCCATTGGCCTCAAATCTCTCTCTCTCCCCTTCCCCTTCCTGATGAGCTTCGTATCGCATAACTCGACCGATTGGAGGGAAATGATCCAATGGGAGCCCGACGCGTGACTACATCAATCACGCCTGGGAGATCTTGCCAGGCGACCGTTCGATCCAAATCGAACGACAAGAGTCGGCCATCTCTCTTTTCCGGACTCCGGACTCCGGACTTCCGGCCAAACATGCCCCCGTCATGTACAGGGCGGCGCCGCGGTGTAGACGTCAATGGTGGGTCCCACTCATAACGGATCTACAAATTCAACTGTCCCGACCTCGGCAGGTTTCGCCGCAGAATTATGCGAGCCAACACCGGCTATCGTCCCTACCAGATGACGTGGCGCGGCATAGAAAGAGAATGGAGAGTACACTCATATTGCACCGGTGCGCCTGACTTAGCGAGGAGATCAGTTAATGGGCCTAATCGGGCCCATTTAGGTCCAAATTTGGGGGGCGGTGGGTAGTGGGGCAGGAGTGGAAGACGTTGCGTAGCCTAATTGGTCTACGAATCTCGGACCTAATCTCTTTAGACCCACGTTACACGTCGGCGCTCTATTTCGCCTTATGGCGTGCAATCAACATCAGCCGAACCTATTAGTGGACCCAACTGGATCCTTCTTCGTAATGGGCTACCAAACAAGGGAAAATACCTAGGTGTGCCAAGCCTTTTTCCTGACTGGTGTCGCTTGCGCTGGAGTCTGGGCCGCGACCCAACAGGAGGTGTTTTTAACGGCCCGATAAGTTATTTCAATGTCTGATGGGCCAAAAAATATGGATAGTACGTTCCGCAGTAGGGCTAAAGAGGAGGAATGCCCAATGGGCTGGTTTTCTGGGCCCCGCGGCAAAAAAAAAATAACGCGTCGCCTGGTTTCCCGGTAAAGTCTGTTGACTTGGGCCACGATGCCGGATAAAAACCGAAATTATTTTTTTAATTAATTATATTTTCAACGGAGGACTTGGCCCGTAATCGTTCGGGTTTACCGATTAATGGTCGCGTAAAAAAATAGAGGGGCATATCAATCAGTAAAGGTATTCTTGTAACTTAACATAATTTGAATTAAAATAAAATTTAATAAGGGTAGTAAATTTTAAGATAGCATATTTTCGTTATTCGAGCTAAATCAAAAAAAGTGACCATTTTCAAATATAATTTTATATTTCAATAAGTATAAAGCGGTTTCCTGTATTCGAGTTATTCCCAGGTGCCCGCGACAGAGAGAGAGAAGAGCGAGAGAGCGCGCGCGAGAGAGAGAGAGGACCAAGAGGGAGAGAGAGAGGAGCGAGAGCGCGCGCACGAGAGAGAGAGGACCAAGAGGGAGAGAGAAAGAAGTGCTAGAGGGAGAGAGAGAGGAGCGAGGCGCGCGCGCGAGAGAGAGAGAGGACCAAGAGGGAGAGAGAGAGGAGCGAGAGCGCGAGCACGAGAGAGAGAGGACCAAGAGGGAGAGAGAAGGAAGTGCTAGAGGGAGAGAGAGAAGAGCGAGAGAGCACGCGAGAGAGAGAAGAGGAGCAAGAGGGAGAGAGAGAAGAGCAAGAGCACGCGCGAAGAGGACCAGGAGGGAGGGAGAGTGAAAGAGAGAGAGGACCAAGAGGGAGAGAGAGAAGAGCAAGAGCACGCGCGTGAGAGAGAGAGACAGGAGCGAGGGAGAGAGAGAGAAGAGCGAGAGCGCGCGCGTGAGAGAGAGAGAGTAAGAGAGATAGAGAGAAGCAAGAGGGAGAGGGAGAAAGAAGAGCTAGCGAGAGGGAGAGAGAGAGAGAGAAAGAGAGAAGAGCGTTTTGCTCACATCGTTGGGAGTAGGTTAGGTTAAAAGGATGCGGCGTCATCGAGGGGCCTAGTAAGAGTGGTTTAGATGGAAGGGGTTTTGGTGGAGGAGGGGGGGCAAGGGGGGGAGGGTGGGGAGTGACGTCACCGCCGGAGATATCCGCCGGCGGCGGCTTCGTCGACGGCGGGCCCATCCAGGTTGCGTCGTCGGTCTTCTTTTCTTAATCCCAGTGGCCTCCAATGGACAGCTGAACTCTCACGTCATCCTCACCCTCCCCCCTTTTTAAACTCCGCATCCCGTCCCCCAGCTCGCGCGAGCTTCTTCTCCTTCTCCTTCTTCTTCTTCCTCGCTCCCTCCATTCCTCTGCATCTCCGTCACCTTTTCCTTCAGCAGATGGAAGGTCTCATCCCCTTCGTATACAGGGCCATAGTGCAGTACAAGAACAGCGGGCAGCCGACGGCGTGGCTCGGGGACTCGCCGTCCGGGAGCTACATGCGGCTTCCAGGAGATTCGGGCAGACTCCGCGCAGTAAACCACGAATTCCAGTTCCTCTCGTCGCCGCCGCGGAGGGCTCCGGTCGCCACCGCTCCGCCGCCGGCGCAGTCTCCCCTCCGCCGAACCACCTCTCGCCGCCCTGTTTAACCGGCCGGCGAAGGTTCCCTCTTTCAAATGCACGGCCTCCGTCCCTCCCTATCCCCCATGGCGAAGAAAGCATGCTCGCCATAGCGCTGAAGTAAGGTCCTCATCTGCTGAATAAGTAAGGTCCGGCCCTCCCAAGGAGAAGCCGCTTAAAGCAGGCAGCGGCTTTGCCGGCTCTTCTGTAAACTGTATATCCATTAAAGACGTGAACGAGCTTGCATATTGATTTCCGACCTGTTCTCGGGAAGAAACAGAAAACCCTAAGAACATAAATACATAGAAAGATATGCACCCCGACCAAAGGTTTATCGACTGTGTTGTCTAAGTTTATCCGTGGCTAGGATGGGGGAAGGGGAGGAGGTTTCCTCGATGAACCCTAGATTTCGTCGCGGGCCGGGCAAGCGATCGTCGTCTTCCAACCCAATTTCCTGGGTGTAGGTGAGGTGGAGGGATTGAAGGAACACTTCGTCGTCGTCGCCATCAGGAGTAGGTGGGTTCTGGGAGAATGGGATACGGCAAGGCTCTCCACGTGGGAGACAGAGACTCGTCGGGTAGTAGCAGGCCGGCGGCGCCGCCCAACGGCGCCGCCCCGGAAAGTCCACACGAATCTGGTCAACCGTGAGGATAAGAACGGCTGCCCTGCCGAATATCGGTCAATGTCCAGGATAAAAACCGCTGGTTCTCACCTGCCTCGTCATTACTGTTGTTATACTCGGCTAATACAGCGAGCGAGAGAGAGAAAGGTATATATATATATATATATATATATATATATGTAGAGAGAGAGAGAGAGAGAATGATATTATCCCAGCTTTCGTCAACAGGGTGACTTGCTGGAGCCATGGGAGCAGGACATCGCACCCACCTCCTCGAAGCAAGAAGCTGGACGAGCTGAAATAATATTCTTAAAATCGTAGTAGGTTACACTACCTAAAATAGTTATGCGTAAGACACTGGCTAACACGTTTTCTAATTACTTTTTTCTGAGTGAAAAAATCCACGATTGTTGGGCTCGGCATTGTTGCCCACACGTTCCCTACCCCCCTCTCTCTCTCTCTCTCTCTCTCTGAGTCAAAACTGGAGCCCATTTCCGGGCCTCCTTCGGATCAGAACTGTGGGCTCGCAATGCGAAAGAACCCATTTTCGGCGAGGCTGCTTTTCTCCTCCCCCTGGTCAACGGCGACAACAGATAGCTGCCCAGTTCACACTGCCCCAGAACGCCCTCCCATCTTTCTTTTCCTATGATTCTTCCTATTTATGGGAGGTGGGGGGTAGAGAGAGAGAGAGAGAGAGAGAGAGATCTTCTCCGCCCCTACCGGATCGATAAGGTCGGCTTGACTTCTGATTTGTCATAACCCAATAAAGTAATTTAATAAACATGTCCGAAACCAATCCTCTGCTTATTTTGTCTCACGTTGGTTAGTGCGGTTGACTTTTGGGCTCTAAGGCCCGATGAGACTTTTCTGCTCTCTCCCATGGCCGGGGGGGTCCGACTGGTTCTTCCTTACTCTCTATCCACTCCGCGTAGAGAGAGAACCATGAGAGACCGGAAGAAGAGAGAGAGAGAGAGGATTGGACCGGAGAAAATTTCCCGGTTTGGGCTGGCCCGGCTCACTGCCATTAAGGCTGAGAACAGAAGCTTTTCTTGGCCCACGTAGTTCGGTGCGTATTTAAGAGAGGCAGTGCCTCTGACTATTGTTTACTGAGTCGTGCGATCGTCGCAGATGAAGTCAATGATTTGTCAGGAAAGTCAAAGGTAATGTTAAGAGGAGCACTAATAAGTTTTTAAGTATTTTGGCCACGAGAGAAACGAGATCCAAAATATTAGTACGTCGTGCGATTTTTAAAATACCTACGGAACAAATAAAAAGCGAACATGCGTTTTTTTCTCTCCTATGAGCTTTGAAGCGCACCTTCTACGTGAAAATCATACAACTCCCAAGTTTTTCGCACCGACAGCGAACTTTGAATCCTGTGGGCGTGGCCATCGGAAAGACTACTTTTAAACTTTTACCCCTCATGATTTCCGAAAAGTAACCTAAATAAATTCAAATTACGAATATACTACATCTCGTGCGAGTTTCGCGACTTCTTGAAGCGCAGAGAGAGGTAATGTAAAGTATTAGGGTTTAAATATAATATCAAATATATTCAGATGAGTATATGAGAAAAACCCCAAACAGGGAGATTTGATGATGACATGTGCGTATTCAGGACGACAACAATGCCGCTGCATTTCCGGCGCTGCTCGGATATCACGGTGGAGGGCGGCGCAACCATGGCGAGCCCACTCGTCCACCGGCGGTGGCGGCGGCGGCATCTCCTCCTCCTCCTCTTCGCCGCCGTCTTCTTCCACTCTCTCCCGGCGGTGTGCCAGGCCAAAGTATGCCCGGCATGCGGCAGCGCCGCCGTCCCTTACCCCCTGAGCACCGCCGCCGACTGCGGCAACCCAAAGTACAAGATCCGGTGCAACACCGCCTCCCAGTCCCTCTTCTTCGATTCCGCCAACGGGACGGCGTATCCCATCATCTCCATCTCGCCGGAGAGTCAGCGCCTGGTGATTCGGCCGTCCCCTCTCGTCGCCGGTGCCTGCGTCACGGAAGACCTTCCCACGGCGGGGCTCCGCCTGGATCAGACGCTCCCCTTCAACATCACTCAGAGCAACACAATCTTCTACCTTAACTGCACAGAACGTATCCTGTCCTCCCCGCTGAACTGTAGCGCCAACAGCCCCTGCAAAGCTTACGTTAACGCCACCGCCGCCTGCCTCCGGGGGGGCCCAATCTGCTGCACCTTCGGGGCCGGAGGCTCGTCGACGTCATACCAGCTGCGAGCGAGCTGGACTGGTTGCTCGGCTTACCGGAGTTTCGTGGGGCTGGAGCCAGATTCGACTCCAGTGGCGCAGTGGGAGCAGAAGTTGGGGGTGGAGATCCAGTGGGCGACCCCGAAGGAGCCCATCTGCAACGCCCAGTCCGACTGCGAGGCCGGGGCCAACGCGACTTGCCGCGCAGACCCGGCGGATGAGGGAGGAGTGAGCCGCTGTTTCTGCAATTCCGGGCTTCGGTGGGATCCCTTCAATGGCACCTGCGCCAGCCGTGAGCTCTTCCTCCTCTCCCCGTCGTCTTTCTCTTCCTTTCCCTCTCTCTCTCTCTCCCTATTAATGTGTCTGTGTTCTTCCTCCGCTATCGTAATATGCGCAGTTGCTGAGGAGTGCGAGGCGTCAGGAAGCTGCGGAGGATCGGGGAAGGCCGCTCTCATTGCGGGTGCGTAGAGGACTGGGGGTTGTCCTGGCTTTATGCTTGCGGCCATAATCACGAACATGTTTCATCTGGTGGTGGTGGGTCTGAACAGGGCTGACCTCGGGACTGGGGGCGGCGCTCGTGGTGGGCGTGGTGGGATTCCTGCTTCTCCGACGGCAGCGCCGTGCCAGGGCGGCGCGCGAGCGGCTGACGAAGGAGCGCGAGGAGATCCTCAACGCCAACAACAGCAGTGGGCGCTCGGCCAAGAACTTCACCGGGCGGGAGATCAGGAAGGCGACGGGGAACTTCTCCCGCAGCAACTTCCTCGGCTCGGGGGGCTTCGGGGAGGTCTTCAAGGGTACCCTGGACGACGGCACGCCGGTGGCCGTCAAGTGCGCCAAGCTGGGGAACACCAAATCCACGGAGCAGGTCCTCAACGAGGTGCGCATCCTGTCGCAGGTCAACCACCGCTGCCTCGTGCGCCTCCTCGGCTGCTGCGTGGAGCTGGATCAGCCCATCATGGTCTACGAGTTCATCCCCAACGGCACCCTCTACGAGCACCTCCACGGCCAGCGCGCCAGTGAGCCCCCGCTCCCCTGGCGGCGCCGCCTCGCCATCGCCCGCCAGACCGCCGAGGGCCTCGCCTACCTGCACTCCTCCGCCGTGCCGGCCATCTACCACCGCGACGTCAAGTCCAGCAACATCCTCCTCGACGAGAAGCACAACGCCAAGGTCGCCGACTTCGGGCTCTCCCGGCTGGCGGAGACGGACCTCAGCCACATCTCCACCTGCGCGCAGGGGACCCTCGGCTACCTCGACCCGGAGTACTACCGCAACTACCAGCTCACCGACAAGAGCGACGTCTACAGCTTCGGGGTGGTGCTGCTGGAGCTCCTCACCTCGCAGAAGGCCATCGACTTCACCCGCGGCGCAGACGACGTCAATCTCGCCGTCTTCGTCAAGCGGCGCATGGACGAGGAGCGGCTGATGGACGCCGTCGACAAGGACCTCCTGGAGGGGGCGACACAGCTCTCCATGGACACCATGAAGGCCCTCGGCTTCCTCGCCATGGGCTGCCTCGAGGAGCGCCGCCAGAACCGCCCCTCAATGAAGGAGGTCACCGAGGAGATCGCCTACATCATCAGCATCGAGGCCGGCAGCGTCGAGCTCTCCATCGGCGGCGACACGCTCGACACCATCCCCCTCTAAAGTCTGGACTGACTAGCTGTACTCTCTTCGACGAGTCAACCATGCCACAAGGAGAGACTCTTCTGACTCCGACGACTAGTCAACCACACCACGTGGCGAGACATATATATGTACCTCCCTACTATTGGGCCGGCCAAACTCTTACTTGAACTACGCTACCTACATCCTGACGAGTCATGCTGTCCCTTCCTTTTGAACTGCACGATAACGGCGGTCCATTATGTGCCGGGCCCATTAACCCCCGTAGCTCTCTAGGCCCAGTAAGTAGTAGTGCTCTGGGAATGACCAGTCAACCAACCCACGTGGCGATATAGATTTATGTATATACCTACTAATGGGCCGGTTGGACTAATTATTGGGTTAAATCCTAATGAGCCCTGCGTTCTCGTTCCTTATTTTAAACTGACGATAAATCTGGCCCATTATGAGTATGAGGCCAGTAGCTCCGTTTCTAGAAGGCCCACTAAATAGTAGTGCGGTCGTAACGAAGCCAGAGAAAAGGACAAATCTTTACTGCATCGTGCCGAACAAGCTCGTGCCTTGTCTCTCTCTCTCTTTCTCTCTCTAAATGTGAGGATCTGAACCGGATGGTTAAACCGGAGGGTGGGCGGGTTCCACGTCGATATGGGCCCCACAGACTTGGGGATCTGGAAATAATGAAAAAAAGCGGGAGAGATGGAGGGGCTATATAACGGTGGGGCGGTTATCGTTGGCGGGATCGTGTAAGTTCGTCTTCTTTGTTTTAGTTCTACCGGCTTTCTGCGACAACCCTCGCGTTGACCGCCCCGTGAGCAGAGAGGAGAGCAGGAGAGAGGAGCCCGGGAGGAAGGACCGGAGTCGCGAGGTACGGCCAGTTGAGATCTCGCGAGGTTTTCTTTTACTCTTTGATGGCGGCATACTTTCGATGTTTTCTTTTCTCTTCTTCTTCTCGTCGATCGGTTGATTTTCGCATCCGTTCGGAGAGGAAACTCTCCGCGATTTCGTTCCAGGTCCCCGCCGGCGCGCGCAGCTTTGGTGCTGTCTGGTCCACCGCGTCGTCTTACGAGGAACGCGGCTTTCGATTTGTGCTTTGCTTGACGCCCAATTTTCTTCATTTCTAGAGCTTTTATTCTCGATCTGTGCGCGACACCTGTTATTCGGTGAATTTTACTTTTGGAAATTCTCTTGTTGTGCGTGCTACTTTCCGAGATTTCCCCGGGCTCCGGGCGTTATCAATTCAGGTTCTGCAAGCGTCAAAGGAGGGGGGGAGGGGGGGGGGTCTCGGTTAACCGATATCCATGTTTAATTGATTACAGACCATCCCCCTCTCCCACTTTCGGACGATATCCTCTCCGAAAGCCTTGTTTCACTACGTTTCCTGTCAAAAGTCGGTTGAGAATGAGGCCAGTCGTGTGGGGCCTCGTCTTTCCGGTGGCTTGCTATGTGCGCCAGTAGAGGGAGGATAAGGATCGCAGAGGCTCATTTGGCTTCTGCGATCGAAAGCGATCCAGCTTGCAATTAGCAGGAAGCTTTTGTCGCCTGCTCCACCGAGAAACGTGAGGACGCATTTCGACTTCTACGGTTGGGAGGGTTTTAGGCACCGGTCGACACATGCGTCTATCTTTCCTTGAGGTCCTCGATTTCTGCATCTGCCCTACTCTCCGAAGAGATCTGAGGCCGATGTCCCCTCCATCCTCTGCCACCTGGTAGCAGTCCAGGTTGCTTGCCACCAAGCAGGGTTGCTATTTCAGCCGGCTCAAGCGCTGTCTACTTCTGAGAATTTGCACTTGGTCTAGCATAATAGCCTTCAGTTTGCATCGGAAGGTCCCCGCAACTCTTCTACAGTTCATTCTGTGATTGGTTTGACATTAGATCTTGCTTGTGCTTGAGATACGTCGCTTTATTTACGTTTCCTGGGGACAGCTCTCAGAATAATCTGTGGGTTTTGTATGATCTCGGCAGGTGAACAGGAGTTAGTTCCCCACCATGAAGGCTCTCATTTTGGTCGGAGGGTTCGGGACTCGGCTCCGGCCGCTGACGCTAAGCGTCCCCAAGCCGCTTGTCGAATTTGCCAACAAACCCATGATCCTGCACCAGGTAAACCCAAGCCCTCGCAATAAGTGTTCTTCCTTTCTTTAAAGCTCATCGATAAGTTACTTCTCCCGATTCCAATGGTTGAGAGAGATAATAGTTAGTTTCTTGTTTTTTTTATCCATCATTAGTTTCTAGCACATGTAGTCCTCGAATTCGCTGTCTGATTCAACCGGATGCTTGTTGAACAGATCGAAGCTCTGAAGGCCATCGGAGTCACAGAAGTCGTTCTAGCCATCAACTACCAGCCGGAGGTACACCAAATCTATCAATCATCTCGACTGCCCGCGCTGCGTTTCTTGTCTGTCGCCTCCGCAATCGCTCACCCGCAAGGAACCTTGGTCCGCAGGTCATGCTTAATTTCTTAAAGCAGTATGAAGAGAAGCTGGGCATCAAGATCACCTGCTCTCGGGAGACCGAGCCGCTGGGGACCGCCGGTCCCCTGGCGCTGGCCAGAGACAAGCTGATCGACGACTCCGGTGAGCCCTTCTTCGTCATGAACAGCGACGTCATCAGCGAGTATCCCCTGGCCGAAATGATCCAATTCCACAGAGCCCATGGCGGAGAGGCCTCCATCATGGTGACCAAGGTGAGACCCTCCCCTCCCCCCCGTCAAAATATTCCCTTTCTTCCTCTTCCACGGCCATCGCGAGCGGAGCTCTGACATCAATAGTCCCCGTCGTCTTCTTGGCCGGCGGCAGGTGGACGAGCCGTCCAAGTACGGGGTGGTGGTGATGGACGAGGAGACCGGGAAGGTGGAGAAGTTCGTCGAGAAGCCTAAGACATTCGTGGGCAACAAGATCAACGCCGGCATCTACCTGCTCAACCCCTCCATCCTCGACAGGATCCAGCTCCGCCCCACCTCGATCGAGAAGGAGGTCTTCCCCCGCATCGCAGCAGAGAACAAGCTCTACGCCATGGTCCTCCCCGGTTTCTGGATGGACATTGGCCAGCCCAAGGACTACATCACAGGCCTACGGCTCTACCTGAACTCCCTGCGCAAGAAGTCCCCCTCCAAGCTCGCCGCCGGCCCGCACATCGTCGGCAACGTGCTGCTCCACGCGAGCGCCGTCGTCGGCGAGGGCTGCCTTATCGGGCCCGACGTCGCCATCGGCGAGGGCTGCGTGGTGGAGCCCGGCGTGCGGCTCTCGCGGTGCACGGTGATGCGCGGGGTGCGCATCAAGAAGCACGCCTGCGTCTCCGGTAGCATCATCGGGTGGCACTCAACCGTCGGCCAGTGGGCGCGGGTGGAGAACATGACCATCCTCGGCGAGGATGTCCACCTGGGCGACGAGGTCTACAGTAACGGCGGCGTCGTCCTCCCCCACAAGGAGATCAAATCCAGCATCATCAAGCCCGAGATTGTAATGTAGAACAGGCCACCCCCCCATTCACGGCTTCCTCTTCCTTTGCGCTCTGTAGATATACACTCAGTCATCTATCTCCGACCATCTACTTCTTTACTGATGCCTCTGCTTCGTGCGACACCTTTTGCTTCTCTGCGAGAGCAGCCGACGTCGTTATGTCAATTCTTCCCGCAGTCGTCCCCCTCCCTCCCATCCGCCAGAATATCATTATTATTGTTATTATTGTTACTATCATTGTTATTCCAGCATCATAATTGAGCTATAGTATATGTATATTCAGGGTAAAAATTCTACCTTATAAAGCCCGAAAAAGAAACCTTTTTCGTGCTCGCCTAATCCACAGAAAAATAACAAGACGTGGTGTTCATTTTTTTCCAGTTTAAAACCCATTTTCTCGAAAAAAAAAAAAAAAGAAGAGTTTTTTGGGGCGATGGGCGACCGTTTTATGATCGATAAATTTCTCAGGTGGGCGGATTGCAAACGAAAAAGCTCTCGCCGGGATGTGCCACGCCTGGTGACCTGAGCTTCCGTTGGCACGGGCGACACCGTTTACAGTTGCGTCGTATTGACCAGAGGTGAGCAATGGGAGTTCTGAATGGCGGCGTGAAGGAGACGTGGCCTGCTAATGGAAATTTCTCTGAGCTTCGCTGAACCGCTGGATAATTCCACGTGGGCCCACCGTATGTCAAAGGAGGAGCCTGGAGATGACCAGAGACTATGATTGATGACGATGCTTTTGCGAATCAGAACCACCCGTCCAAGAGCATATTCTCTCACGTAGGACTGCTGCCAGGTGTCACCTTACCATGTGGACACAGAGGCCCGATAAGAGCAGCTGACTTCACTGGCCTGGCCCACCGCATCTGAGACGACGAAGTCGGCCCACAGATGGGCTTAGTCCAACACCAGACAAGGCCACTGTGGTCCAGATCTTCCGACACGTCCTCCTCCCCACCCGTCCTCCCCTGTACTGCCCGTACGCTTGGCAGGAAGCAATTACACGTGGAAGATTATGAATGTGGCACGAACCATCTTTTTTACCCCGCCTCGTGCTCCAAACTTTCCACGCAAACCGACAAGGTAAAGCGATGCACGACTTGACGCTGACGTGTCTCTCGAGCTCCAAACTTTCCACGTAAGCCGACAGGGCTGACGATGTGATGCACGGCACTGACGATGACGTGGGAAGCCAGGGGGGCACGGTGGCCAGCTCGTGGTCCGCGTGAGCTTTGGGCCCGCGGATGGCCCCAACTGGGAGTAAACGGACGGGCTCCTTCTGTTCTCAATTGTGAGCGGCACAGATCTCCGTCTTGGCTAACATTCGGGCCAAGTTGCAGTTGGGCCTCCACTATGGGCCTCATTGGGCCATCATATCAAAAATACGCTTCCAATGGAACAGCCAACTCGTCCTTCTCTATAGGCCACGAGAGAGAGAGAGAGGGAGGAAATGTGCACATTTTTGCAGGTTTTAAATATGAGAGCATTCACAGGATCAACATTTTCGGTCTATTTATTTTATCACAGAAAAAAAAATAGAAACATATGCAATTCCTAATTAGTCAGTATCATTTTATCAACAATATTTCACTATTCCACGTCACAATTAGTTATTCAGAATAATCTTATTAACCATTATACAACTAAAGCCGGAGAGAGAAATGAGCCGAATAGAAAAGAGCCCAATAGAGGAAACAAAAGAGCCTAATAGATGAATCAACCCAATAAAAGAGCCCAATAGAGGAATTGAATGAACCCTACTAAAAGAACAATATCGCCGTTATTGTTCTGTTACGGGCCGTAGACAAAAGGAGCCCAATAAAGTAAATGAGCCATGAACATTTTTTTAAGGATTGGTAGGGGTGCGCCAGGCCGGTGCAGTAGTGCAACGCATCGGCGACGCGCGAAGACCCCAGTGGCAAGCCACTGTGGTGGGCCCTCCCCCACAAGAAATTAATTTAATATCATGTGGGCCGATGGCCCACGTATCAGATATTAAACTGATAAGAACAGATACTACACTTGATCTTAGCCAAAAGGCCGAGAAAGGTATGAGTTCTTCTGAGGCGTGGAGGGCTTTATATAGACATTTCTTGTCGTGCTATCATAAACAACCGATGTGGGACTAAAAAGATCAAGTACAATAAATAAAACATATGGGTATATGAGTATGAATGAGAAAACTATGGTGGGGCACAGTTTGGGTTCCCTCACAAGGGAGGGAATCATTACCATTGTACTCTACTTCTCTAGGATTAGGCAGACAGTCCGACTGAACATTAGGGCTAAGATGCTCTCCGTTCGTCATTGAATGCTTCCTTTCACCTATGCAACTAGTGGTTTAGCTCCAATTTGATCCTCGATGTGCAGAGGAGATTGTTCTTGTCCTTTATGGCTATGAAAATTCAGGTCAATGGTTCCAAAACGAGCGACATCTGAGGATTGATGAACGATACTCTTTTTCTATTTTAAAACATACTGTAGAAGTAAATTCAGCTGTGGTTTGGCCGCGAGTGTGTACTCCTTAGATTACATTCTATTGTATGTACTCCTTAGATTCTCTATCACCCTAGTGGATCAATAAGATGATCAGTTTCTGTATACATTTCATTGCCGATTTTGTTTCAATTCCCTGTAGAAGTAAATTCAGCTGTGGTTTGGCCGCGAGTGTGTCCGATTACATTCTATTGTACTCGTTAGATTCTCTATCACCCTAGTGGATCAATAAGATGATCAGTTTCTGTATACATTTCATTGCCGATTTTGTTTCAATTCCCTTTGAATGGATATTGTTCTAAGGAGACCACTGCAGTCTTCATGGTGCGAATGATAATATGATGAAATGGGCAAATTATAAGATTTATTAGCCATAATGCTGGGTATGAGTAGAGGGTTGATTGCTGACTGTTGGGCATTGACCAGCTCGCTGGATGGACTAGTTTGCTGATTGTTGCCCGGGTCGTTGGATGGACTAGTCAGGTGAGAGACTCTGGTCGTAGAAGGGGCCAGGGCAGTTGAGACTGGATCGGCCCAAACCACAGTTCAACAGGATTTACTCGTAACCGGCTACTGGGCACTAGGAGATGCAGCTGACTTCGAAGACGGAGGGGCCCCACTATGTTTGGATTGGACCCTCATCCTACGTTACTTCACCTTGAAATGTCTATCATAATTCTCCACTATATCCATGCACTCATCATCGTCAATTTCTCTACTTCGCCAAATCCATCTTTCTTGGTGTTTGATGTATGGATTATGTTCTTCCATTCCATTACATCAAACGTTTCTTGGTGTTTTATATTTAATATGAGTAATTTCAAGCTCTTCTCAATCTTCATCTCTTCTCCTTTCAGAGCAGACATAAATCAGGTGGCGTATCTTAACATGTGTGTATTGTTCCTTCCTATTACCATGGTTTCTCCAGTAAAGCCATTTTATATGATCCCTTCCTATTTCTCTATATTATTCATCTCAGCACTCAATATTATCCAGTAAAGTCGAAATAGAAACCACACTTCTCAGTTGATCCAAAAGATTACTCAATTACTTGAAGATACAAGGATATCCTCATGTTTTCCTCTCCCATCCATCTGTTGGATTGCTTGAAGATACAAAGAAATCCTCGGTAATCTGAACTCACTCTCCGGTCAAGAACAATAAGCATGGAGATCATTCAAGTATCCAAACTAGGAGTCGTTTCTCATGCTTTGATCCCCGATGAAGACCATACTCTTCTTCTGTAGAGCTTATGAATTCACTGGAAACTCCAGCTTGGAGAGAATTATGAAGAGGAAGAAGCTGCTGCAGTGAAGGGGAAAAAGGATCGACTCCGTCGAATTCAACGGAAACCCCAGCTTTAGTTGCTTCAGAGCTCCCGACAGGGCCACGCCATCAGCTCAGCAACTTCTCCTTCAAGAAATTGCACTCCACAACTTCTGCCACTATCTGATTTTGATCGAGATAGCGGAAAATTTGGGGAAGGTTCCCGGGCAAGTGGACGAGGATCAAGAATGAAGGAAAACCTAGGCGTCTTCATCCCTCACCGTCTCCATCGGTATATATTGTATTTTCTCGATTCAAAGGGACATCTACTGCATACCAGATGCAGATTAAGCTACGAAATATGTCGATTGGAATGGAGTTTCTCACAAGAATCGAAAGTCTCCCCGGATCTGCCGATCCGGAAGGAGAATGCCGTCGGCTAATGAGAAAATTGGGACGGGAAGGGGCGAGGCGGGTAATACGACTATTTCTTGCTCTTGTTGAGCAGGGCGTCATCGACGACCTTGAGGTGCTTCCGCTGTTTTGACTTGGCGATCTTCTGCAGAGTCTTGGGGTTGGTGATCTTCTGGAGCATGGTGCCCGTGCGGAGGATGTTCTCCTTCTTCTTCTTCTCCCTCTCCTCTCGCTTCCTCCTCTTCTCCACCTTGCTCTGCCGGATCTCCTCCTTGAGCTCCTTCACCCGCTCCTGGAACGCCTTCTTCAACTCCTTCTCCTTGTTCCGCAGCTCCAGCGGCTTGCTCCGACGTGTCACTCGCATCGCCGACGACCGCTGCTGCCGCACCTGCTTCCACTTCCGGCCGGAGACCTTGCCGGCGATCACGCCGTCGTAGGACGGCCTCCCGAAGGGCGCCGGCTTGTCGGGATCCTCGAGGGACGGGACGGCCACCCTCTTTGACGGAGGCGGAAGCTCTCCTCCTCCTCCTCCTCCTCCTCCTCCGCCGTCGCCGCCGGCGTCCACCTCCATGGCCTCCGCCGCATCTGCCGCGGCCCTCTTGCGCTTGTTCCTCTGCCCGCCGATCCCCTCATCGAGGAACCTGAAATCCAGCGTGCATGCCATCACGAAGTAGAGAGAGCAGGACCGACTTCCCTCCCTCTGATATCGCCGGCGATGGCGGCGGCGGCGGGGAAAGAGTCGAGGAGACCTCTCGCCGGGGAGAGGGGGGGGGCGGCTTTTATACGCAGGCCAGAGAGGCTCGGATCCGTCGGAATGGTGAGCAGGGCGGTGTTAGGGTTTTATTGGGCCGATTAAATTTTATGCATAATACATTTTCGGAAAGAAGTTGTGTAAAATTATTTACTCGTCCCTGTTGCCGGTGCCTGGTGCTCCAGGTCATTTAGAGAGAGAGAAAGTATATTTACAAATATACCCTCAAGAATATTTATTATGAGATACTTCCAACAAGCTTGTTACGTCAGGAGCTATATGAAAGAGAAGTACAATTTAGCAGAAAAAGTAATTTATTGACAATTTTAAATTAATTGTGGTCTAAAAATGCAAACGGAGAAAATTCTTCCAATATACCCAGATTTTTCATAAAATCAAAGGCATCATCTGAGACGTACACTGGGCCGTAAAAGCCGAGCCCATTATCGGCCCACTGACGTATTATCCGTACGAAACATAATTCTGGTTCATTTCACTGTTCACCGAGAAGATACGTTTCAGCTCAAACTAAGAGCAAGAGGGAAAGGTGTCCTTTTTTAAGGGGAGTTGCCTTCTTTAGGTGAAAATTGATATTGACTATATGGCTATGCGAATCAATTCATCGGGGGCAGGACTTCGAGCTCGGTGATTTCTCGGCGCCGTCGCCTTCCCCCCGTCGTCGTCGGCGAGGAAGACGTGAAGAAGAAGGGAAACGAGCGGAGGACGGGGGAGGAGAGGGGGGGCTGGGGCTGGAGGCGAGGGACAGATCGAAGGAAGCCTCGGTTAGGGTTCTTGTTGGAGGGGAGGAGGGCCTGGGAATGGGGATCTGGGAATAGAACAGTTAGGAACGGTGGAGTCTGATCACAAACGTCCACTAATCTTCGTCTCCCGCGAATTGCTTCGGATTTCGAATTGGTTGTTCCCGCCATGGAAGACGCATACGGCAGTCTCCCGTCCAGTCACCTGCTCGGCTCCGTCCCGGTGAGCGCCCATCCCGTCAAGAAACCAAGAAACCAAGAAACCAACAAACCAAGGGTTCTTTACTCGATTTAGTTTACCGTCACTTCCTTTCTGTTAACTTCTCGGGTTTCTGATCTTGCGATCCCTTGAGGTTCTTATCGGAAAGCGAGAGATTCTCTTTGACGAATGTTTAAAATTCATGCGTTCAAAATTTTAGGATACGGATTTCGCTCTCTCAGCGGCAATAGAATTTGCTTAGGTTTCTTGTGGTTCGCTGGGCGGGCATTATCTCATCTATCTTTTGCACTTTTAACTTGTTGTCGAGCTTGAATAATCAACGAAAATGAACTTCACCTTTCCATTGGGTTCGTTGGAATAGACTATTAGTCTGATTATTTGATCGAAATAACTACGTGCAGGCCGTGATTCCTCCAAACGAGAAACCCGAGAACAAAGAAGGTACATGTACAGTGCCTTCATTTTGCTTTTGTTTCCCAGTGTTTCACGTCTCCTGTGGCCTCTGACTTCAATGATTGGAGCTCGATTTGGTCCTAGTGTCCCTCTCGTTGACAAATGGGAGGATAGCCTGTGTTTTCCTACTCTGATATCCTGTTTCCACATAGGTGCAACTGCAAGCATGCAGATGTTTCCACCTGGCAATGGAGGTTATCGGGCTCCTGGCAGTTCTAACGGTATGTGATATATGTTGTAACTGACTCCATGGTTTGACATATCTGTAATAAAAGAGTTACACTACTAGACACAGAAGATTGTGGCTGGATTTGAGATGAATTTTAAAGTAAATTGCTGTTCGAATCAAGAAAGTCGATGGAGGCTTCACAGTCTTGGTCTTATTAGGTTGTCATTAGGTGGTCTCGACCGCTGGTTATCTCTTTCAGTTGTAAGGTCACCAATTCTTGATGAATTGTCGTCATAGTCAGGATTCATGATGTGAATGATTTAAGTCAAAACATTCCACAGTGGAGAAGAAAACATAAGTTTAAAACTAAAAGAAGTGAATCTGAAAATTCTTTGCAATTTGGATGCGAGTTTCAATAGCGAGGCTGTATAGGACAACTTCAAGTAAGGGTTTGTTGGAGATACAGAAGTCAGGGAGGAATTAGTAGTTGGATAATTTGAAAAAAAGAGGGATGATTTTATACTGTGCTTAGTTATGGGTGTCCAATTCTATGACATTCGTGCTCCTTACCATTTAATAGTTTCGCTATTTTTAAATAGGATTCTTCTTGAAGGTTTTTAAAGTCCAAAAAAATGAATTTATACATAGAAGCAACTTTATTTGGAAGGCTGGTGCTGCTTCACCCGAAGATCCAGTGGAAATCCAACCATACTGCATCTGAAATCCAACCCGACGGTGCCAGTTAAGCGAAGAATAACCTTCTATCTAGAAACGGAGTTGGCTATATATGTGGAGGTGCATTTACTTCCTTCTATTTTTTTTTTCTGGGAGTAGCTGTATAAACAAAAATAAAAGCGTATCAAGGAAAAATCTTCTTAGTGTGGAAATATGACCACGAATATCTACATCACCTTTCCACTCAGGATGATATATTGGTACATGGCATGGGCTCAGAATCAGTGATAACCCCCCTTAGCCCACATATGATATGATGGCTCAACAGAGATTGCTGTTTAAGGAAAATAAAGGTTTTTAAGGAGATAACTATTTTTTAGAACCATGGATTTGAGGAGTAAGAATGAAGAAGTGTACTTTTATCTTGTACGTAAAAGGAATTGGAATAATTAGTGCAGGAAAAAATGATAATTTTTCTGTTAACAAATGTAAAGGAAAGTAAGTCACTCTGCCCAAATATGGGGACGTCTTTCGATCTACTCTCTTATCCGATTAAGTTGTAAATAAAACGGGCATGAAAGAGGATACATATGACCATCCATTACCCATACTTTTTTGTTTTAGTCATATACCCCCTCCTCCCCCACCCCTGCCTAAAAAATAAGAGAATATTTTTCAATCTGAAAACCTTACACGGGCTTCGATTTTTTTTTTTCAATTCATCTTCCATTTGAATTATTCACTTGAACATTAGTATTTTTAAAGGTGTAGTATATATTAACCTTTTTGATACTTGTCTTGGGGCTTCATTCGGTATTTTGTCATCTTTCTGCAATCTTTAAGCTAATGTACCTATTTAGTTGCAAGTTGCAGCTGAAGAATCGCAATGCCAAATTTGGAGTAATGTAGAAAATTGTCCACACAACTTATATTTTGTGCAAAACTTGGAATAAGGAGCCGCACTTGTTACTCCTGACTATTATATCCCGGACAGTTCGTCATTTCAAGTCGAGCTTTATTTTTGCTGCGGATCTTGAGTAGCTTGACTATTTAAATGTGATGTAAATTCACTGTTCTGTAGGCATTATGACTAGCATTTCCACTAATGACTTAGATCATCTGTTGACACCCTCGCCCTGTAGGCAGCTCGAAATTGATTGAGACATTTTCATTAAAGTCTTCTACAGGCATCCATTGGGCAAAAAACCTTTTTTTAATTTTATTTTACTGCTTCTTGGTAAATAACAGCTTATTTTTCTACTTCGATTTTGTATTCTCTTGCGCTTCGTAATGCTTGACAATGTCACATGTATGGCATGTGCACAACAGAGCGAAATATTTTTGTTTTTGTTCTATTGTCTTTTGGGATTAGATAGCTTCTCTTTATCTGTAATTCCTTTTTACAACATTACCACTCACGCAGTTGGGGATGAGCAACCTGCAACGAGCTGGGCTGGAGTATTCAGCATTTCATCATACACCCCTTATTTCAATGTTGACACTGATGTTGTGGTGGATAGGCTCATGAGCTCTGTTTATCCCCTTCGTGGAGATTTTTTCAGCAAGATTGGTGCTAATCCTGATTTGTAAGTTGCCCATCTTGTAAGCTCGACTGTAAGCATTCTACTGAATGTGAGCAGGCTATGCCTTATTATTTTATTCAAAAGGTTTGACGGCGCTCCAAGTGCCAGTTGAATGGTTATCTGGAGGCAGTGATTTGAATTTCTCGGTTTGTTTATGAGAAGAAGAAGAAGAAGAAGAAGAAGAAGTGGTTGCTAAGATAAGCCTCTGGCTTATTTCTGAAATCCTTTCTGATGTGAGATTTTCTTTTCAGATACGCGCCAGTTTGGATCTCAACAACCCTGGTATTCATGTTAGCTGCTCTTGGAAATTGTGCCAGTTATCTAATGAAGAAAAAGGATCCAAGTCACCAGTGGCTCTTTGATGTGGCTTATTTTAATTGGTCTGCGGGTGTGGTGTATGGTTATGTGCTCATAGTACCAGCGGCATCTTACTTTTTGCTCCAGTACCTTGGATCAAACGGAAGCCTCATACGTCTCTGGTGTCTCTGGGGTTACTCACTTTTCATCTTCATACCAGCATCTGTAAGTATCCAAAATTACATAATATCTTTAAATTTCCTCTTCTGGCTGAGTGCAAGATATTTATTTCTTAATCGTGAATAACTTTTCTCAACTTCTCGGGAATTTTGCATTAATTCACTACTTTTCATCTATGAACGTTTGACTAATTGGAGTATACCCACTATGACTAATCGAATATCAGACATAGTTTTTATTTTGAATTGATGGATTTTTTGTGAGTGTTAGAGTGGGTAAGAGCTTCAGATACCGGTGTAGTAAATTAATATCCGAATTAGTCTGGAACTATTTAAGTAGAAGAGTATACCAACTCTCCTTGCTTGGCCTTGAGACGCGGTGTAATGGCGCAGGTAGTTTCCAACGTTCATAGTCAGGTAGTGTCGCTGTGCACCGGTCTGAGACCGACTCATCGCTTTCTGTGGAGATTTACGGGCAATGCCTGGCCCAGATGTCCCATTAATTCGAGGTTGCAAACCATGCGAGTCTAGGTCAACATCGCTCTGCTATGCTTAGGATATCTGTCTTTTTTTTTTTCCCCAAGTTCTTCTTGAGACCATCGCCTTTCCCCATATTTTTGTAAATACATGTAGAAGAGGAAGGTAAAAGCGTAAAGGGTCTCCTATGTTACCATTTAGAGCACGGATTGTTGCCACTTTTGGGTGTCCTAAGATTCTTGGGTTGACTGCGTCCAGCTGCTCTTGGTCGTTCCGGTGGAGGTCTTCCGGTGGGTCATCATTCTCCTCGCTGGTTCTGCGTCGGCTGGTTTCATCTCGTTGAACCTGAGGACCTACACCGAGGGGCACGACCTCATGGTGTGGGTGGTCAGCGTCTTCTTGCTGCAGTTTTTCCTGGCTATCCTACTGAAGGTTCTCTTCTTCGCATAAAGTCGGCGGCCGTGTATAGGTTGGTACAACGTGGCCCACCACCTTCCGCGTCCTTCGGATACGGATCCCTCTTTTTTTTATTTTTTTCTTCTTTTTGCCACCGGTTCCTGTCTAGCGAATTGCTTCCATAAATGGTAATATCCGTGTGATCACCTCTGCCTATTTTCATGATATTCACGTCTGCGGATACGCATTCTCGATCATTTATCTTGTCCAGGCGGAATTACATTAAAAAGAAGTGCTGGGTTACAATGCTGCGATACTCCAAGTCTTCCCCGCCGTTGACTATTATTGGAGTGGAAGGTGGGTAGGAAGACGGAGAAGGCTGACTAGTTCTCCCGGTGGGTCTGCCCGGGTGGTCAATAGACGAGGCCGTTGAGGGGCCCATCGAGCTCGGCGGGGCGGGTCTTCATGGCCTCGAACCTGGGCTCCTTGTCGGCGAATTTGGTGCCGGCGTAGACCTTCATGTACTCCTCGAACTTGAAGACGGGGTAGAGGAGGCTGGGGGCTGGCCCGATGACGGCGTCGCTCGCCGGGTTGTAGAAGGTGGCGATGGAGATCCTCCCACCCTCCTCTTGAGCGATCACGCGGTGGGGGATGCTCTTGATTCGTCCGTTCGTTATCACCTGCCATCACGCCGGCGGAGGCGCTACCTGTCAGCTCCGGCAAGGTCGCCGCAGAGAAGGAAGGAAGACGAAGGAAGGAAGGAAGGAGGATGAAAGGAAGGGAGAAGGAAGAAGGATGAAAGGAAGGGAGAAGGAAGGAGGATGAAAGGAAGGGAAAAAGGAAAGAAGGGAGAAGGAAGGAGGATGAAAGGAAGGGAAAAAGGAAAGAAGGGAGAAGGAAGGAGAAAGAAAGGAAAGAATGGAGGAGGATGAAAGGAAAGAATGGAGGAGGATGAAAGGAAAGAAAGGAGAAGGAAGGAGGAAGAAAGGGAATAATGGAGAAGGAAGGAGGGTGAAAGGAAGGGAGGAGGAAGGATGAAGGAGGGGGAGGAGGAGGAGGAGAAAGGAGGAGTAGGAGGAGGAAGAGGAGGAGGAGGAGGAGGAGGAAGAGGAGGAAGAGGAAGGAGGAGGAGGAGGAGGAAGAGAAAGGAGGAGGAGGAAGGAGGAGGAAGGAGGAAGCAGAAGGAAGGAGGAGAAGGAGGAGGGAGGAGGAAGGAGGAAGCAGAAGGAAGGAGGAGGAGGAAGAGGAAGGAGGAGGAGGAGGAAGGAGGAGGAAGGAGGAGGAAAGAGGAGGGAGGAAGAAGCGGAAGGAAAGAGGGAGGAGGAGGAGGAGGAGGAGGAGGGGGGGGAGGAGGAGGAAGGAGGAGGTGTACCTCGAGCTGGTCGCCGGTGTTGATGAAGATGGCGCCGGGGACGGGGACGACGTCGACCCAGTCGCCGCCCTTGAGGAACTGCAGGCCGGGGACGTCGTCCTGGAGGACGAGGATGATGCCGCCGGCGTCGGTGTGGGTGCGGAGGCCGGTGATCAGGTCCGGCTTGGGGCAGGACGGGTACTTGGCGAACTTGGTGCCCATGAATGGCCCGCTGGCGCCAGCGAAGGCCTTCTTGATGTAGCCCTCCTCCAGAGCGAGGTTCTCGCAGATGAGGTCCAGCAGCCTCTCCGCCAGCTTCGCCGCCTCCTGCTCGTACTCCTTGATGGTCTCGCTGCGACCGGCGGGAGGAAGTGGGGTGGTGAGGGGAAGGCGGCATAATCGGCGGCGAGTTAGGGTTCCGGCGACTTACAATAGCTCGGTGGAGATGTTGGGGACCTTGTCGGCATTGCTGGCCGGGAGGTGCTGCACGAAAAAGCAGGTCTCCCAGTCTTTGTCCCCGATCCGGCCCTCGCCGGCCTCCACCTTCTTCACCACTTCTGACTGCTGGAACGCCGGCTTCAGCACCGCGTCGTGGTACTCGTGGGTCAGTCTCTTCGTCCTCTCCACCAGCTCGGTGGCTACGCCGTGGTTCACAACCTGCTCCGCTCGCCGCAGGAGAAAAGGGGTTAGTTTTACATCGCCGGAAGGGGGAGAAGCTTCTGCAGCGACCGACTTCTGCACAGGCGATCGATTTACCTGGAAGAATCCCCAGTTCTCGCAGGCGTCCTGGAACCGGGCCAGGGTCTCCTTCCTCCTCTTTCCATCGAGCCCGGCGAGGTCGATCACTGGCATCCCCTTCTCCATGGCCGGAGCTCACCCGGATAATATCTCTCCCCGGAGACGAAGTCGGCACAGAAGAAACCAGTGCAGCGAGAGAGAGAGAGAGAAACTTGGTCACTGGTGCTCCACGCCCATCGCGGATGGGTATTTATGGGCGCGAGGGTGATATGCGGCCATTGGATACGAAGGGAGCTTGAGTGGGGTTCGCCGAGTGAGGCTGAGTTTCTGTACAGGGGGGCCTGAACCATTACGCAGACGGTCCCGTCTTCTTCCTCTGCCCCCTCCAATTATTGTCCTCTTCACTATATCCCCTTCTCACGTACAGCCGACATGTAGCGATTTGACCGCTCCGGAACTCGTGCGAAGCGGCTTGCACTGTGGAGTGAGAGTCTCTGACTTGTCGGACATGCAGTGGACTTTGGCCACGTTATGAGCCGTGGCAGCATACCATTGGGGGATGCAGCCCTAGCTACATGGAGCCTTCCGTGTGAGCCGTTCTTTTGTCCATAGCCATGCGAGGCCAGAGGAAAAGAATAGTCTTCGGCGAGGTCAATCCAGGGCCAGGGTGAGGGCCAGTGGATGCCCGCCACGTGTTCGCCTAGTTTCGGCGGTCGTACAGGACGCCCGTCCGTGAGGGGCTTTTGGCTCGGTGCATTCAACTCCGATGGCCGGCGGCCTCCCGCCGGCGGGACCGCCATGATGACGAAGATGACAGTCGGGAGCTCCGGGTCAGACGGGGTCGGGGCCCACAGGGCTCCATCGAAATGGAAGGAAGCGGGGCCGGCGGCGGCGGCGGAGGAGGAGGACGTACACAGGAGAACCACGTTGGTGCCGGCGGAGCGAGGTCAGCTGGAGGGGAAAGCGGCCGCAGCGTCCCTTATCCGGTGAGAGGGTGGCGGCCACTGCAGATGTGCGTGGGGGCCATGTCGGGGAGAGGTCGAAGCGGGAAAACGACGATCCGGAGGCATGTGTTTTGTCCGATACGATAAATATTATATATTCAAGCCGGGCAAGTGGCCCGGATTGGGAACCGTGGTTGGATAATCGGAGGGCCTGAAATTCCGGCCGAATATTAACAAGCATGATGCCGCGGTGCTGCTCGTTGGGTGCAACCTGGAGCTTCGCGTGCCGCCATCCCCGGCTTCGCTGAGACTCTCGTCCACCGACTCGTTCTCGTCGCCGATAGAGACCGAGCACGATTCATTTAGGCTCCCAGTTAGCGCCATCTTGTTCTTCTCCTTCTTCCTCCTCTTCTTCTTATCGTCCTTCGGTTGCTGGCTCCAAGGTGTACGGCGCCGCCGCAGAAGCCGGCCCCAAGTATAATAGCCAGGCGAGCTCCGAGGAAGAAGAGCAGCGTTGCCACGGAAATCTCGCCCCTGGATGAATAAGACCCTGCTTCCGAAGAGTAAATGAGGCTCCGTCAGGAATTTCTAAAGGTACTACTGCCTCTGCCGGTGGTCGTGTTAAATACGAAGGCGTCGTATCTCATAGATTTAATCCATGTATCGTTGACCGTCTGAAGAGGAGCAATCTCAGTTAATGGCAGATAGGTCAAGTGGGAGATGACGACCTGTCCTTTCTTTTCTGGGTTGAAAACCTTCCCCACGTTCGATTTCTCTCGCCGTCCGACGATAAGGAGTTCACGACGACGATGAAGACGGGCCATGCGCCAGCCCGGGTCGCGTGCGCCGCTTGGAAAGAGATTAGATTTGGACAAAGGATGGATCTTGTTCCTGTAAATAGAATAAGCCTACAAAGATTGCCAAGCACGTCTTCTAAAGCTCTCTATCGTCGATAAATCCGATCAAATGTTTTGTTAGATCTTGTCCGAGTTTATGGGAATTGAATGGTTCGGTTTTGTGAGCTCATCAATCGACCATCTTGAACTCTTCCTTGGAGTGCTCCATCTTGGATTTAGGCGTTGTTATACTTGTCACACATGTGAACTTTAATGGAAATTGAATATCATGATCTCATATTTCCAACTACTAAAATTTCCTGAAAACGACAGGTTTAATCTACTGGATTCAAGACGGATAGATTCCATGCGTCTCGGAATAAGCGGTTATAAATGCCGTCATTGAATTGTCTCTTCATAAGTTGGGTTAGGAAACGTTGACCTTGTAAAATGAATGTGGATCCCATCACAGCTGTAAAATGAATTATCCCCTGGATAGGGAAAGGTCAACGAGTCGAGGCAACCAACGGGAAGGGCCTCGATCTCTGGAAGTGCTACAGATTCGCACGATTTGAAGATGACTATAGACCCCAACGCGATCCTCAATCATTACGCCTCGTTAGAACCAGGACAAGAAAGATACCGCTCGTGAAGTCCCCTGGAGGATAGTCTAAAAACATCGCTATAATATAGTGATATAGATAAGGGAGGAGGGAGGGGGAGAGAGAGAGAGAGAGAGAGAGAGAGGGGGGGGGGGGGAGAGGGGAGAGGGGAGAGGGAGAGGAGAGAGGAGAGAGAGAGAGAGAGGAGAGGAGAGGGAGAGGGTAGAGGAGGAGGGGAGAGAGAGAGAGAGAGAGAGGGGAGAGGGGAGAGGAAAGAGAGAGAGGAGAGTGGAGAGAGAGAGAGAGTTAGAGAGAGGAGAAGGGAGAGAGAGTTAGAGAGAGGAGAGGGGAGAGAGAGTTAGAGAGAGGAGAGGGGAGAGAGAGTTAGAGAGAGGAGAGGGGAGAGAGAGTTAGAGAGAGGAGAGGGGAGAGAGAGTTAGAAAGAGGAGAGGGGAGAGAGAGTTAGAGAGAGATAGATAGATGATAGAGAGAGAGAGAGATAGAGAGATAAATAGATGATAGAGAGAGAGAGAGAGAGAGAGAGAGATCCTTGTCGCCGCAGCTGTTAACTAGAGGGTTCGATGGGCATCTCACCCAGCTGTATAATGTTCGCTCAGGCCCGCTAGGACAAGTAGATTGCGAACTCGAACCTTCCGCTGCTACTTCGCTGATTGTTTCCGTGACGTTCCTGACTCTTCGATGATTGAGGGGACTTTTTTCATGAACGGCATCGAGGCAGCATCGCACGCGAAGTGGCATCGCCGATATTCTTGGACGAAGACTGGACCGGTGCTAGTGGTGCAGCCGATCAACATCTCCTCAGTCTTGGTTGCTACGGCACTACCTCCCCCACTCAGAAGGCTTTCGTCATCTGCTTTGCAGCCATATCCTTGTTCTCCCTGGGCCCGGAGGTGGTTCTTCTCTCTGGTGGTCGGAGCTCGAGTTCGTGATGTGCCAATCTTTTTCCGGGGGAATTGCGTGAGCATACAATTCCCCCATATTCTGTTTTGAACTCTCTCTCTCTCTCTCTCTCTCCCATCCCTTTCTCCTCTCATAATTTTTTGACGTATCTGCCGAGCTTTTTCCCTGGTCCACACTGGAATTTTAGGATGCTCCATGCTTTTGGGCTTGCTTCAAGAGTAAGAATGAAAATTCCTATTTTCTTGTCGCGGAAGGGTTTTTTCTCTCCAAAAGGATGCTAAAAACCCTGAAGGAAGGTTAAGAGTGAAATAGGATACTACGCTTAGTTATGTACACACATATATACATTTGCAGACACAATATATTTTTAACGAAAAACATATTTAAATACTTGATCTCACTAGATCCAACATCGCCGATCGGAAAAGCAGGGTTATTGCTCGTGCTTGGCGTCGACGGCTGGAAGTCCAATCATGGGTGAGGCCTAGCTGAGCTGAGGGCTCAGAGACCAAGGTCGTCAAAGGTTACTAGCATCTAGCATCTGAGAATGACTATTTGTATTAGCTAATCATCTAAATAAAATTTTAATTCGAGCTTTAGTATGTGAATAATATAAATAGGATGACTACCATAATAAAGTTGTGAGACTATTCACATTAAAACTAATTGATAACGAGCAGTGAAGCCGATCCTTAAGAACTTCGAAATTTATTTTACTCTAAATTATGATAGTTATACTTAAGTTGACTAGAGGGGAGTCAGGTGGCATGGGCTCTTTCAGACGCATTCAATTCCAGCTTAACTCTTTCCCGCGTTGTCAAGTCATCGTACGTAGGAGGTCTAGGAAGGCTTGCGGTGTAGCCATGTTCCCGTTGACAGATTACTCAATCCTGACCGAGCGGTGTGAAGGCTCGGCCTTCAATGGTGCATTTGGGCAATATGTAAGTTACAGTCGTCAACTACTGGCTGGAAATTCTCCCCGTCTCCTCGGACTTCTCGTGTCCTCTGTTATACGTAAATACAGAGAGAGAGAGAGAGAGAGAGAGAGAGAGAGAGAGAGAGAGAGAGAATATTGGGAGATTCAACTCGTTAGTCGAAGTGCCTAGGGAACTCGAAGAGCTTGACGAGAGACCAGGCCATCACAGTAACAGGTAGTTCCAAACGCTAACCGTTTCTCTATTTTTGGCTTCTCTTTATACTAGTCATGAAGCATCAAAGTAATGAAACGTTCTTAAATCTACTCAGCTATTGGCCAAGGATTATAACATATAACCTCAACACCGTCTGGATTTAGAAAGATGATGAAAAGGTCGACAACATGACGAGACTCCCTTTCGTCCCTCTCGAAGTATTTTTAACATGAATGAGTAAAATTTTCTATCGAGTGAAGGCACCACTATATTCAAATAGACATTTAATACCTTTTAAATAACTATATTTCGCCGTGTGAGCTTACATGTGCCAACTTTTGGATGATAGTATGCAAACAGCACACGGGCACACAAGCTTGGAGGCGAGATGGCTGTCCTTGGCATCGGTTGAAGGGGATGCGTTGACCACGAGGGTGGTGAATGGTGATTCAAAACAGCGATTTCATCATCACCGGGAACCATTGACTAGTCTCTCCTCGTGGATTCTCTTCCCCTATATGGCCTTCAATTAGCCCTAGGACATGATGTGGAACTGGATGACCTGATCGTGCATTTCATCGTGTTGCATGAAATTTCTGACAATTGAAACGTCGAGTCGTCTACTCAGCTCTGAGGTCGTTCCTGTGCGCCATCGGTGGCCGATAGAGGACGAAGTCGCCCTGCCATCCAGAA